TTATTCGGATAAAACACCATATGTATATATGGAGAATAATTAGGAGTTAAATTAATTTCTTCGATATTTCTTTTTTACTCACGTATTTTTCGGGACTCAAATTCCTTAGAAACTCATGAATAATCGCCGTTTTCGACGTGCCAGTTTCTCCGACTAACAGTACCGGCCTCTCCAGATTGCTCATGAGATCTACGAACCAGGTAGTACGCAGAGTATCGATTGTCTGCACTAAAATATCCGAAAAGTTCTTCTGTCGGTCGTAAAGATACGCCGGTACCAACCATTTCCATGCCATCCAAACCCTTTTCTTCATATCCAGTATATAATCGTACATGGTTGGAAAAGATAAAGGTATAAATCCTGATGAAGTAAACATGCACATTAATTTTTTTTCAGTTAAGGAAAAGGTGCATTATCAAAACTTGACGTTTAATTTATTTTTTGTATTTATGAATTTATTTAAGTTAATTAGGCCGAAATAATATAATATAATATATATATATATATATATATATATATATATATATATATATAAATTCACTCTTGTCAGATTGAAAATTTTGACCCAAATAGAGAGACTCGTAGCGTAGATAGGTTCGCGAACGAGAGGTATAAGTTTGTAGCAAATTAGTCGTGTCGTAGCGGTCTCAAGAAGTAATTGCGGTTCGTCTACTTGCAGGCGATTAGTCGTTGAAAATTTCTACGTAAGTCTGCTTAACTTTGAGGTCTGCTAAAACTTCTCTCTTCTGGTTTAACGCGGCTTTAAAGGGATGTTCATAATGTGTCATGTAACATGGCTTTATCCAATAAAAAATACATGACGCCACTCGACTTTGACCAAGTCTAGCTTTTACGGAATTGCGTTTTCGTAATACCCAACGGCGCGAAGGAAAGAAACGAAAAAGAACCACGAGAGCAAATTTTGACATTGCTCGATGTAGTTATATAGTATGTAGCAAGACATCTCGTACGAAATCCTGTTGTTCCAAATAAATCGAGTTGCTTTGCATAAAATATTGGCAAGAATACCTGCATTCCTTTTTCTCCATATTATCTACGGTAACTAACTGGTATTACTATCGAAATCAACAGGATGCAATTCGTACCTTTCACAGAAAGGTGAAAGCTTTTTACTAATTAATACGATCAATATCGAAAGAAACGTCAGTCGTCGTTCGATCTTAAAATCTTAAGTCTATACTCTGAGTTATATTAAATTATAGGTGTAGGTATAAAACTTCCAACGAGCAATTGCATTGTAAAAACTTAATTCGTTCTTTGTAATCAAGCTAAAGAATATTTTAATTAATTGAATGTCTACCAATAATAACTCGTGGTTTACGTAAGTACGCATCTCGTTAATATACACATGCTGCGTTGCCTGATTAAAGGATTCTCCTACTGCGTCATGTGCATGAAACAAACTCGTAGTAAATGTTTAGAGTTAATTAAATTAATTCCCGCTAAACAAAACATACAAATTATTCAGCTTATTGTAAATTTTACATTATTTAAGTGAAATTTGTTTTTAATTAATAATACGCAATATATTAAATTAATCAGATACGATAGCTTAAAATGCCGTATTAAATAAACTTAATTGCAATAGATTGGAATACGATCACAATTTCGCCTCTACACCCATCGCATGCGGTAACGACGTGTTGCCAATTTAATGCTAATTTAACTCCAAGAATGACAAGACATTTAAAATCACGACACAAAACCTTTATGCTTATTATAAAAGGATTGATGCCCTTTTGCGTCATATTTAAATCTCTATGTGCGCCAAGTCTTTGTTATGCACCAGCTTTATTCAGAAGCTACAAAAAGCGGGTAATATGAATTTTCTACGAACGCTTCTCTTCCCCTTTATTAATATTAAACAGGCATATACAATGAATGCATACAGTTTCGTATAATAAATATGGTCTATTTTTAAATACGACATAACTGTACAAAGATGCCTTCCTTTATAAACGTGAGGATATTTCTCAAAACGTTATTCCTCATGCGATCTGAAAAGTATTGTAATGTCATGAACGTCGTATCTGTTTCTAAATTCTAATAAACGACGATATTTCAGACGTCATCGCTGCCCGCATAATTTGCCCCAGGAACATTTGGAATTCTATCATGAAGAACCATTGCACACCGTGACTTCCTATCGTCAGGATTACGACGAAAAGCGCGTGGAAAAACAAATGAAATTTTATCATGAGGATCACTTGCATACGGAGGGTGAATTTATCGGACAGAGGCGAACCGATTACGTGGCTACTAAGGGCGAGAGAGCGCCAGTCAAAAAACCACAAGATCATCTCAAACCGGAAGGTGAATTCTTCAAAAGACCAAAGGAAGAGGCGCCTATAAAGGGTGAAAGGGCACCTGTGAAAAAGCCACAGGACAATCTCAGACCGGAGGGTGAGTTTGTCGGTAAACCTCGAGAGGAAGCCCCGAAGTATGGTGAACGGGCGCCGATCACAAAGCCGCGGGATAATTTGAAATTCGAAGGAGATTTTGACAGTAAGTTTAATGTACTTGCTTAATTCCATTCGTGAACTTATCAATAAACTTTTTTATTGTATAAATTTGGTCTCAACAATTACCAAACGAGTTCTTATGTATATCAAAATAAACTTTTCGTACACGGACAAAACGATTTTGTTGTAAAGGTCTAAAAATTTTGCTGAATACAGATCTGAAAATTAATTCTTGTTGAATCATCAAAAAATTTTGTGGTCAAAATAACCATCATTGCTATAAAACGGTTTGATATTCTAGCAATTATTTTGACTTTCCAACAAAATTATTTTGATTATTGAACAAAAATTATTTTCAGATCTTGATCCAACAAAGTTCTTTCCGTGTAAAATTGTCCATGCTCAGTCTAGAGAAAGGAATTAAATGATTTTGTCACTTTTTAGCTACAACAACGACTGAGCTGGTTTTCACCGGCACTCCTGGCGAACGACCGATCCCGATACGTCGCAATACTTATACGAAGATAGAAGGTGATTTCACTGATGAAACGACGTCGCGATCGCAATACATTGATCATCACAGCATCCAACGTGCTGAGATAATTAAACGAACGGATAATCTTACCGTGGGAGAGGGTGAATTCACGGTTAGTAGATTTGAGATTTTGTTTTAGTCAAACGTTTATAGAAACGTGTATATATATATATATATATATATATATATATATATATATATGTAATTTCTCTGGTCTTTATTGTCCTTCAAAATTATTTTACCTTTAAAATTATTTATGTATATATATATATATATATATATATATATATATGTAATTTCTCTGATCTTTATTGTCCTTCAAAATTATTTTACCTTTAAAATTATTTTAGGGTACCTCTCATATCAAGGAAGATTTCCAGACTCATATTATCGAGCGTGAACCTCAGTGGCGACCGAAGTATTCTGAAGACACCGATCGGTTTTACAGCAAAACGGATATCACTGACAGTACTACGACCACTCAAGAACAATTTCGAACTTTTGATCAAACGGATTATAAAAGTACCACAGTTATTAAAAGAGCTGACAATCTAAGACCCGAAGGATCTTTCGAAGCATTACCTCATACAAAGGATGATTATATTACACCGATATTGCTACGCAGGCCAGAACCACAAAAACCTAAAGATAACTTAAAACCCGAAGGGCCATTCGAAGGGCGTCCTAAAGATGACTATGTACCTAAACGCGGAGAACGCTATGAAGTGAAACGGCCCGAAGATAACTTACGTCCTGAAGGACCATTCGAAGGACGACCTAAAGATGACTACAAGCCTACCAGAGGTGAACGCGCTGATGTTAAAAAACCACAGGATAATTTGAAACCAGAGGGACCGTTCCAAGGACGTCCAAAGGATGATTTTATTCCGAAGACAGCAGAACGTCCTGAAGTGAAACGACCGAAAGACAATTTACGCCCTGAAGGTGATTTTACGGATCGTCCAAAAGGTCAATATACACCCGGTGAAAAACGCACTCCAATCAGACATGCGGATAACTTGTATCCTGAAGGCGACTTCGAAAGACCTGAGCCGATACCTTACGGTCCCGGTGACAGAGCATCTATCGTTCGCCATCCGGATAATCTGTTTCCATCAGGAGAATTTCCGGATAGAGAAGTCGAGCCATTCAAACCTGCCGAACGTAGAACGCCTATCAAACAGATCGATAATCTTCGTCCAGAAGGTGACTTCGTAGGTAGGCCCAAAGATGATTACAGACCGACTAGAGGAGAACGTGCCGATGTTAAACGCCCTGAAGATAATTTACGACCAGAAGGTCCGTTCGAGGGTCGTCCAAAAGATGATTATTCGCCCAAGCGTGCTGAACGTCCTGAGGTGAAACGTCCAGAAGACAATCTACGTCCCGAGGGTGACTTTGAGAGACCAGAGAAATCACCTATTGGTCCAGCAGAAAGACGCACTCCAATTAAACATCCGGATAATCTCAGACCCGAAGGCAAGTTCGAGCGACCTCGTCATGATGGTTACCGTCCGGCAGAGAAACCAGAAGTCAAAAAGCCAGTGGACAATTTGAGGCCTGAGGGTGAATTTGAAAGACCTCGTCCTGAAAAATATGCTCCAGCTGAAAAACGAACACCGGTGAAACATCCGGATAATCTTAAGCCGGAGGGTGAATTCATTGGTAAACCGAAAAGAGATTTTATACCTACAAAAGGTGATCGCGCTGATGTTAAGAGACCAGAAGATAATTTAAAACCGGAAGGTCCATTCGAAGGTCGTCCAAAAGATGATTATCGACCGGTGCGTGGAGAACGCATGGACATTGTAAAACGCACGGATAACTTACGCATGGAAGGAGATATAGAAACATATAGATCCAGAGACGAATATACCGATTTCTTAATACGTGAAAGAAGTGAAATTACTAAATATCAAGATAATTTACGTATGGAAGGCGAATTCATTGATACCAGAACACGAGATGATTTCAAAATTGTTAAAGGTGAACGCATGGACGTCGTTAAACATCGCGATAATTTAAAACCAGAAGGTCCATTCGAAGGCCGCCCGAAGGACGATTATTCACCTAAAAAAGCAGAGAGACCTGAAATTAAAAAGCCAGAAGATAATTTGAAACCAGAAGGAGATTTCGTACGTCGGCCTAAGGAAGAAGCGCCTAAAAGAGGTGAGAGAGCTGACGTGAAAAAACCGAAAGATAATTTACGGCCGGAAGGTGATTTTGAACGACCAGAGAAAAAACCGATTGGCCCTGCTGAGCGGCGTTCTCCAATTAAACATTTTGATAATCTAAAACCGGAGGGTGATTTTGAGAGACCAATACCTGAAGAATTCAAGCCTGCTGAAAGGCCAGTTGTAAAGAAACCACATGATAATTTGAAACCGGAAGGCGAATTTGTATCTAGACCGAAAGAGGAAGCGCCGAAGAAAGGTGAGAGAGCCGATGTCAAAAAACCACAAGACAATTTGCGACCGGAAGGCGATTTTGAAAGACCGGAAAAGAAACCGATTGGCCCTGCAGAGCGACGTTCTCCCATTAAACATTCGGATAATCTAAAATCAGAAGGTGAATTCGAGAGACCTAAACCTGAAGAATTCAGGCCTGCCGAAAGACCGGTAGTAAAAAAACCACATGATAATTTAAAACCGGAAGGCGAATTTGTCTCTAGACCAAAAGAAAAAGTGCCAAAGAAGGGTGACAGAGCTGATGTCAAAAAGCCAAAGGATAATCTAAAACCCGAGGGCGATTTTGAAAGACCAGAAAAGACACCTATTGGTCCAGCGGAACGACGTACTCCGATTAAACATCCAGATAATCTGAAGCCGGAAGGTGAGTTTGAACGGCCTGAACAGGAAGGTTATCGTCCAGCAGAAAGGCCAGAAGTCAAGAAACCGACGGACAATCTCAAACCTGAAGGCGATTTTGAAAGACCGCATCCTGAAAAATATACTCCGGCTGAGAAACGAACGCCAGTGAAATATTCAGATAATCTTAAACCGGAGGGTGAATTTATTGGTAGACCGAAAAAAGATTTTATACCCACTAAAGGTGATCGCGCTGATATTAAAAAACCAGAGGATAATCTAAGACCAGAGGGTCCATTTGAAGGTCGACCAAAGGATGATTATCTACCGGTACGTGGAGAACGCATGGATGTTGTAAAACGCACGGATAACTTGCGCATGGAAGGAGATATAGAAACTTACAGATCTAGAGACGAATATACCGACTTTTTAATACGCGAAAGAACGGAAATTACTAAATATCAAGATAATTTACGTATGGAAGGTGAATTTATTGATACAAGAACGCGGGATGATTTCAAAATCGTTAAAGGCGAACGCATGGATGTCGTTAAACATCGTGACAATTTAAGACCCGAAGGTCCGTTTGAAGGGCGCCCGAAGGACGATTATTCACCTAAGAAAGCAGAGAGACCTGAAATTAAAAAGCCAGAAGATAATTTGAAACCAGAAGGAGATTTCATACGTCGGCCTAAGGAAGAAGCGCCTAAAAGAGGTGAGAGAGCTGACGTGAAAAAACCGAAAGATAATTTGCAGCCGGAAGGTGATTTCGAAAGACCGGAAAAGAAACCGATTGGCCCTGCTGAGCGACGTTCTCCGATTAAACATTCTGACAATTTAAAACCAGAAGGTGAATTCGAGAGACCAATACCAAAAGAATTTAAGCCTGCCGAAAGACCTATTGTAAAGAAACCACACGATAACTTAAAACCGGAAGGCGAGTTTGTATCTAGGCCGAGAGAACCAGCGCCGAAGAGAGGTGATAGAGCCGATATAAAAAAGCCGCAAGATAATTTGCGATCAGAGGGTGACTTTGAAAGGCCGGAGAAGAAACCGATTGGTCCAGCGGAAAGAAGAACTCCGATTAAACATGCAGATAATTTGAAACCGGAAGGTGAATTCGTGGGTAAACCTAAAGAAGAAGCTCCAATAAGAGGAGATAGAGCGGATGTTAAGAGACCTGCAGATAATCTTAAGCCGGAAGGAGAGTTTGAAAGGCCTGAAAAAGCTCCAATTCGACCGGCAGAGAAACGAGTGCCTATCAAACATCCTGATAATTTACGACCTGAGGGTGAATTTGAAAAACGTCCGAAGGAAAAGACACCGGTCAAAGGCGATAGGGCGGATGTTACCAGACCAAAGGATAATTTGCGACCGGAAGGTGAATTTGTGAGACCTCAGAAATCACCGATTGGACCAGCGGAGCGACGTACGCCGATTCGACACGAAGACAACTTGCATCCGGAGGGTGAATTCGTTGGTCGACCGAAAGATGATTTTATTCCCAAGCGCGCCGACCGACCGATTCAAAAGAAGCCTAAAGATAATTTGAAGCCTGAAGGAGAATTCGTAGGAAAACCCAAGGACGATTACAAGCCGACTAAAGGGGAGAGAACCGAGATCGTGGTGCATCAAGACAATTTGAAGATGGAAGGCGATATAGATATTTATCGATCTCGAGATGATTATGTGACTACGTCTAAACGCGAACGTGTGGATATTGTGCATCACGAGGATAACTTGAAAATGGAGGGTGAATTCGTTGATATTCATCGACGAGACGATTATCGAGTCACTCGTGGTGAACGCAGCGAAATTATTAAGCGTGACGACAATCTTTACCCTGAGGGTGATTTTGAACGGCCAGAGAAAGCGCCGATAGGTCCCGCAGAAAGAAGATCTCCCATTAAACATCCTGATAACTTGAAGCCAGAAGGTGATTTCGTACAACGTCCGAAGGAAACCGCGCCTATTAAAGGTGACCGAGCAGCCGTCAAGAAGCCGAAAGATAACTTGAAGCCCGAAGGTGAATTCGAGAGACCAGCGAAATCGCCCATTGGTCCCGGTGAACGACGATCACCCATTAAACATCCGGATAATCTTCATCTAGAGGGAGAATTCGTTGGCAGACCGAAGAAAGAAACGCCACTGAAAGGCGACCGAGCGGATGTGAAGAAACCGAAAGATAATCTTCACCCCGAAGGAGAATTCGCGAAACGTTCCCCGAAGAAAGTAGAACCGGCTGAGCGAAGAACTCCGATCAAACACGAGGATAATCTTCATCCCGAAGGAGATTTCTACATGGTGCCTAAAGATGATTTTACTCCAAAGAGAGGAGATCGATCACCGGTTAAGAAACCTCAGGACAATCTTCGTCCCGAAGGTGAAATGAAAGTATCTCCAAAGGATGATTATAAATATGTAAATGGAGAACGCGTGGAAGTGCGTCGGCACGAGGATCACCTGCGCATGGAGGGACAAATGGACATTCACCGTTCGAGAGATGACTATAAGAAAATCACGAGAGTGGAGAAAGTGGATGTTAAGAGGCACGAGGATAATCTCAGAATGGAAGGTGAATTTATCGACGTGCGTCGCAAGGATGATTACGTGCACATGGTTGGTGAACGCGTGCCGATTAAAAAGCATCCGGACAATCTACGTCCAGAAGGAGATTTCGACAGACCTCAGAAGACGGTGATCGGCCCCGCGGAAAGAAGATCGCCGATCAAGCATCCGGACAACCTGAAGCCGCAGGGTGACTTTGAACGTAGAACTCCGGGTAAGATTGGTCCCGGCGAACGACGGTCGCCGATCCGTCACGCCGATAACTTGAAGCCGGAAGGTGATTTTGTCGGACGTCCGCGCGATGACTTCACTCCCAAGAGAGCAGAAAGAGCCGAAGTCGTAAGAAGAGAGGATAATCTAAAAATGACGGGCGGTTTCGAAGGCACAACGTCTCACAAGTCGACTTACACGGTGGTTCGTGGCGAGCGAGCGGACATTAAGTCGCACGAAGATAATTTAAAGATCAGCACCGGCACTATGGAAACAAAAACGACTAATAGAGATACTTATACACCTTCTAAACACGAACCTTCTCCCGCTGGTAAAACGGTAAATCGCCGAAGGCACATGGAATCGTCTATCTCACTCGGTGACGACACTACCACGATGACCACGACGAATCAACGTAACTACAATACCTACACGAAGCGTGCAGGAAAGGATATCGCTGCCAAGATGAGCCATACGGAATCTGATACTAGAAAGACCGTGGAATCGCAAACTTTAGCAGATGGAACTGTTGTCACGACCGTAAAACGTACAACGACTTCCGCTCAGTCCGATCAGAGAGCCGTTAATGCTCAGACTCATCATCAACAAGCTCAACATATTACGGACCGTCGCGCCACTCAAACGATCGATGTTTCGCCATCTGGTCCGCAACCCGTGGATTCGCGAAAAATGACTTCCCAATTGGTATCTAATCAGCATCATGAACAGCATCAAAGAACTCATTTGAGCGAGCAACATTTGCGATCGCAGAACATGCAGAGTCGTCGAATCGATGACCGATCGATCACGGAAGGACTAAATCATCGAGGGCAATTCATGCGAGGGGAAGATACATCTCGTTACGCGATCGACGCCACACACGGCGAGCTCCATAGGCAGCAGCATCAGCAGCAGCAGCAGCACCACGTCGAGCGTCATCATCAGGAAATGACCAAGCGCGATTACGTGAACGCGCAACATATGGAAAGTCGGCAAAGAACCGCGACGAAGCAGCACGAGCAGCACACAATTTCCAGCCAGGCACGATATAATTCGAACAGCCCGGAATTCCGGCAATCAATCAACGGGCAAACGACCGTAGAACGATCACAGGTGGACCCAGCCGCGAAGTTCAGTCACCATCGCAAGAACGTGATATCCTCTTCGTCGGCCGACGTCAGCAACGCGGTGCTTCATCGACGCGGCGCCGCTTCTTCCACCGAGGCGCTTCACACGATCTCGTCGACGGCGGCGGACCAGCGCAAAAGTATTTCAAATCTGGCCGAGAGCGGACAGTACATCAGTAATTCGAGCCAGAGCAACGACAGACGTAGCTTGACTTCGCTGCATCGCAGCTCTAAAGAAATCAATCCATGGGCCTCGTCCAGCTACGAACGCCCGCAGAGAATCGTTCGGCAAGATAATCTGACTGTCGGCGGGAAGTTCTATTCACAAAGCGAGGCGAAAAGCTATGGAAATTTCTCGCAAAGTACTCAGAAAGTAGAAAGAGTCCAGAGGCAAGCGAACGCATCCCACATTAATTTGGGCGACGGTAGCACTGTCAGTTCTAATACCATGTATAAAAAAGAATTTGTTCCTAGGCACAGAGGACCGTGTCCAGCTACTCTTCTGGAAGCCAAACAGGCGCCTTTCAAGCACACCAGAGACACGCCAAAGCACAAGTTTTACATGCCCGTCGTGTCTAATTAGATTGGATCAAATTTAACGTTTTATCCTTTTTTTTCCAGAAATTATACAATAATATTAAAGCATTAAAATCAAAATTTTACTCTGCAAAAATAATTGAAACGCGATACATAATTATATCATAATATTCTATAGTAGTTATTTTTTGTTATATATCGACCATTGAGTATAAAAACATATACATAATAATTAATTATTATTATATTATGAATTGCAATTAGAAGTATACATAAAATCGTATGTATAGTAAATTTTATTTTTCAAAGTACTCGAATTCTGCCAAGATTAAACAATCCAAAAAGGATTTTCTCGATGCTGTGATGATCTCGCTGTTAAAAAATTAATTTATATTTTATATTCACTGAAACATTTCGAGTAAACATAATCGTGGATTCTATAATCGTTTCTAAATTATGATATCAATGAGTATGAGATTTGATCTACCGTGATATAATAAGTGTCTCTTATAGCAATATTAAATATAAGCTGTTAAAATAAATATATAATACTTAATATATTTCTTTTTAGGACGCAGTTGCGAATGAAAATAATTGGTCGATATATATAAGTATATAAGTATCGATTACCATTAACTTTTATCGACGAGCAAATAGCCGCCCGTTATGTATTCCTTTCTTCTTAAAACACGTGTATACAAAGCAATAACTAGAGCTTAAATCCATGATACGGTCGGATCTAATGGAACATTAGTTTCGTCCGATAATTAGGATAGTAGATGCAATTATGTTATTCTATTTCACTGACTCTATAATGAAGATTTTATATGGCAGTGAGTTATGTTCTCGCTTATGTTTTATTTAATTTCAAGCTTATTTTATTATCGCACTTATTTAGTATTTTTGGTGTTCTAAGAATATATTTTCAGCAAAATATCAAATAGAAGATATGTATAATTTTCTTTCTGTTGTTTAATACTCATTATAAATGGGTGATTCAATTCCTGGATGTTGGTTTATTTACTTTATACTGAACATTTAATTTAATCGAATAAAATCGATTTATAATTATTTGTTGTATGAGTTTTATTTATTACCATTATATTTATTTTATTAATGCATTCACGCCATCCAACATGACGCACATGATAGAAAAATATTCGATATTATTACTTGTTGTTTGTGCAATACAATATGCTTCTGTACATTTGATATATAGTTATCACAGAAATTAATTATCAATTAATAAAAAATTAATAAATAAATCGAATTAAATATGATTAGAAATTAAGATTTAGAACTTCAATCAACACTGTTGAAGTCTAATTTATCAAAATAGTTTGTATCAATATTCAATAAATTAAGCTAAAGGATCTGCCATTAAGAAATAACGCAACAGGAATGTATATATGTATATTGAAGTGACAATCAGATCCTTTTTATTAATACTATTAGCATGGCCATAGGCTGTTCGCAAATAATGTGAATGGATGAAGCTTTATCGGCCACATTGCTGATACGGAAAAAGATCTTATTTATATTTCTAATTCTTTTTTAAACTCGGCTGCATAGACAATAATGGCTCTGGTGTGTATACTAGATTTTACACACCTTAGAGATATGTAAAAAAACTAAATATATCGAGAGATATCAAAAAAAGTTATTTTTTTACTGTATTTTTACTAGATTCTAAAGTATATATAATATATATACATAAATATATATGGCAGGCTCTCACTAAAACATATCTATATTTCAAGCCAAATTCAGATTAAGCAAACGAGTGCAAACAGACGCGAATGAACAACTTGTGGCTGCGCCATTTGCATTCATTGAAGCAAGTTGTTTGCATCTGTTCGCGCTCGCTTGGTTGATTTAAGTCCGGCTGAAAATAATAACTTTTGATCAAGCAAACATTTAATAACATAAAATCTATTGTAATTCGCGCAATGCTATTGATATTTTGCATGTTTTGATCATTGCCGTTATGTAGTTAAATAAATAAAAAAGTATAGTATTAAAAATGTATGTGATTGTACATTTAAATAAACATCATAATAAAAAATTAGTGCATTTTAAATTTTCCGAATTCTCTGACGTAGAAATGCTAATAAAGCTAAATTTTTATTAAAATTGAATTCTCCATGATTATGAATAGAAATGCATTTAAATGCCATTCTCACAAGCCAAGCAATTAAAGTGGATTACAATCAGGAGTCAGAAACATATATACATAAATTATTTTCCTAAATATTTCAAGACGATATATATTCTCTTATTAATAAACTATTAACGTTGACCTTTCTAGCTCAAGAAGTGTTACACCGACAAAAAAAGACGATAATTTGACTAATAAGTGAAAATCTCACTTGGCGTCACTTGCTAGACTTCGGGTACGCTCAGAAGTGCATTTGTGGCATTTGTAATAGACATACATACATACATATATGCTTGTTAATTACTACATATATGTATATAAATTCTGTATATAAACATAACTACTGTATTTAGTTTTTTCAGAACATATCTTGTGCGGCAGGCGCGAGAGAGACGGCGAATGTTTCCTATACCAACGAGACAAAATATAATATTAATTACTTATTTCAACAAGATATATATGTATACGAGATGAAACAAGATGGTTTGAAGTTGCGGTACCGTTACTACCTGTTCCTCGGAGCATCTCTCGTTCCTTCTTTCCGTCTCCTTTTGCGCTTCGTCGTCACGCTCTCGACGACGACTCAAGAGAGAGGAACAAGTATGATCCAGCGCCTGTGGGCAATTCAGCGTCTCATGCTTTTTTCCCTTCACTCACCCTCTCGTGTATTTTTACACCGCGCTCGAACGCCTCGTGAAATCTCAGGGTTGTTAACCCCCGCAACGAGGTTGTCGAAAATTTCGCGCCGGAATGGAGATTTCACTTCGGGCAACTTTCATGTCTCTCTTCCTCTCTCTCTCTCTCTTTTTCTTTTCCTCACGAAAATTATAGGCTGCCTCTTTAATTACTCGATCTCGCTCGAATTTGTTCAGCAAACTTTCGGTGTGACCAATCAGAGGGAACGTTTTATCTCGACAACCAATATCGTAAAACTTTCTTTGCATCAACGGACCAGTGTGCATAAACATTGTGACGAGTAATATTTATATTTTTACGAACAGAAAATGCAAAATTTTCTACTGCGCGCATCTTTCATAAAATTCCAAGTGCAACGATACTGATATGCTTCTATACTTTTTTAAATTATTACACGTTCTCGTTTCTAGCTACAAAACAAATATTTCTCTTGTAACTCGTTATTGAATAATAATTTCTGCTTTATCCATCGCTGATTACATACTGTGTACATAATTAATGCACCAAACCGTTATCAGTGTTTTCTTCACGTTTCATTGCTGTTACATAAATAATTAAAACCAGCGATCTAGTTGCATGCGAGTCGAACGATTAAAATGCCGGCCTATTAACCGCTAATCGACGTCGATCGTAATTACGTGGCGCGTTCGCAAAGTGGCACGATTCTAAGGAAGCGGTTTGAGAACGTTGCCCTCTTTTCCCGGCCTTTCGCGACCTCGCATCAGTCTATATCGCGGGAAAAAACAAGCGTCCAGAAGAAATGTCTACAAAATCGAAAGGATAATATTATCACGCGCGATTACAGTTAATCCAACGTGCAAGAGACGTGGTTATCGCGACACGTTATACAAATCAAGATGCGTGCACGCTTCCGCGAATATTGTAACGCGGTTACACACGGGCTCGAAATGGTATAGAAGTACAAAAGAAGTACAGCGACCCATTAACCGGCTTGTCATCATCGCTGTCGTCGTTGTCTAGGTCTTCCGAAGTGGTACAATTCGGAATGGCCAGACACGCCGAGAGCGTTGTCCTCTTTCGCGCGGATCGTCCGCTACCTGTAGGCGAGCGTAAAGTCACCTGCCGCATACCTGTCTACCTCCCAGCGGCAGGCCGGAGGCGATCACTGGTCCTTTTTACCTCTCTCTCTTTCTTTCTTTCCGTTGCCACCGTCGCGAAAAAAACATTCGCTTTCACGAAAGTCCCAGGTCTTCGTGGGCCTCTCCTTCGTTTACCCGTTGCACGAGGCGTGCGAGAAAAGATGTGCCGCACGCGAGGGACCCGCGGTGAAATCCGCGATTTCTGCCGGCGTTTCTTCCGCAAGGAACTTACACGCTGCAGAACGAGCACAGTAAGCCTGACATTCGCTCCGAGCCTTGGTACGCGCGTCAAAAAAAAATTCTAAGACCGCGGGATTCGCGATCTCTCCATTAAGATGTACATAAATACTCTTCTTGATCTCACGTTGTTGTGAAATTTTTTGTGACATACATTCTTCTTCTCATAGATACCGATGAAGTATTATCTCTTTAGGAACGAATAGTACCATTGCCGATTGGAATTGGAAGGTATGTATAGTGGAAAAAAAAAGTAGACGAACCAGTCTCGGCTTAGAACTTCACGCTTGTAATTCTTTTCGTCACTCGTTTCGCGACACAGCAGTAACGCGTCTTCTTTAGGGACTTCTGTCGGCGAAAAGTTATCGGACGAAGTTCCTGGCACGCGACCTCGTTGCACCGTTGTACGCGCCGATTACCACGCCTCCGTGATACGTACGTTCGGAGTCCCTCGTTACACGAGAACGACGTCGCCGATCTGCGACTCCGTCGAATAGTTTCCCGGTCGAATCGCGATCACCATGGTCGTTGCTGTTAAACGACCGAATTTGATACGCTCGCGACCACCGCCCGATCCAAAGCCGCCGATTTTCTATTATGCCGATTTCACGCGCTCGTGCATGAACGCATGTTGCCGTGCGTTGCGATTTTGCGGTCCGAGACACCGTTCATTAGCGTGTCCCTTATTTGCAGAGCAGGCAGTCTTTTTCGTTTGCATCGTGAGTTTCACCTTTTCTCTTCTATTATAACGTAATAATGTATTAAATTTCAAAGTAACTCAAAATAATTTTAAAATAACATTTAACATGCGTATCGCATTTTTCAATTTGACAACCAAACAAATAAGTAATGAAAAAAGTGAAATCAAACTTATAATTACATACTTTCTATATGTGTAAGATATATGGATATTATTGGTTTAACGTTTAATATTTTCTTATCGTTTGCATAAACAGAAAGTAGCGTAAAGGATTTTCTAGCCGGCCCGGTGTTCAGTTGTTCACGCTTGGTGCATAGAAACTAAGGAAAAACGCCGTCCTAGGCTGTAATTTTATTGTCGGCGCGAGAAACCAAAACGTACGTGTTTGCAACGGCGCTCGTTCCAGCAACCCAGATCTCGGCGCGATGGAAATATACCGTTAAAACGTGCCACAGGCTTGCAGCCGTTACTCCTCGTTCGACGAATCGTTGACTGGCAGGAATCTCCTCGGTTCCTCACATTCTGGCTCTCGCGAAATCGGTCCGCCCACGGATCGTTTCGCTGCACAGTTTCGCGAGGAAGGATATCCGGAATGTTTACGCATGTACGATACGTCTGTCAAGACATCTCTTAACGACTTCAAGAATCATTGAAAACTGATTAACGCGCGTTATTGTACAGAGATATTAAGAGGGCGAGGATTTTTGTTGATAACAATTCTCAATACATTAAATTAAAATGTTTAAATGAAGGACATTGGGTGTTTTACGTCAAGTGACTTCAGCATTTGCCTCCTTCTTTAGACCTGGGTTCTATCTATACGACATACGCGCGCACTGTGCTGTACTAGTAAATTTCCGGCATGCTGCTCCTTCACGCCCGCATATTTGTGGCGCTTGCACGATCCTACAAGCGAAAGTACTTTTAGCACGGCGAATTATCGGCGGTGCGCCGGTGGGAAAGAGGATGGCATTCAATGACTCCCGGCGCGTCTGACAGATTCACTCGTTCTACTTCTCTGTTACCCGGGTTCTGCGGTTTCGCGAGGCAAGACATTACCGCATGTCCGACACGTCTGACGAGATTACCCACGGGGTACATGTCGGTGAGAAGCGCGTTATTGACGTAACCGGAATAAATTTTGTTTTCCTAACTAGAATTCTCACGTCGTATGCGATGATGACTTCGATGTCACGTCATCGCAGGCGATACGATATTATCAATTCATTTTAAGTTGCACAAATGCAACTTTCGCTCAGACGTTCGACTTGTGAGCGAAATCAGCAACGATGCATGTATGTAACGTGCGTGAGCTCAATATTTTTACAACGTGCACTTCGCTCGAGACTACTTGTAACGACTACTCGTTGCTGAGTCCGTACGTTGTATTCACGGCAAAAATACACGGGAATCAAAGCCGGTTATCGTTTCCCGCGGAGCGATGGTCCGTGCGGTATGTTGGAGGCGTTTATGGCGCGATTACTACTCGCACGATATATCGCGCTCAAATACGTATTGACGTAACTGGAGTAGCCTTCTTTCCTTTCCTGTTAGCTCTCTCTTCGTGATCGAACAGCCACGGAAGTAATTGTCCGCATCTCTAGCTTATAACCGGTTGTTCCAAAAACGAGTTGGTCTAAATTTAAGTGTAAAGTGGAATACGGACATAAATTGTTATAATGTACTTATTTTAAAAAATTTTAATAATTTGTTACTAATAAAGAGGTAAGCGACGTTAAGAACATAGAAACCTAGTTGCGTCGACAACCTATTTTCTAGTTACGATCTAATATCGTGAATCTTATAATTTCCCGAGAGGAGTTGGTAACTCCTGCCATTTACTGGGAGTTCATATAGAAATCTTTAACGGAATGCAAATGAGGACTTCACCGAGATAAGAACTTGTATTAAACTAGAGAAGAGTAGATTTACATACGTTCTCATATGCGGCCCAAATGCATGCGGGAGTCGAGATTTATTAGTTGCGTCGAGGCAACCGTCAGTGCGCTGGTAACGTCCAGGGAGACTGAGAAAGACGATCCCATGACGAAGTAGGAAAGTATAATATACGCGATGGAGAGAAGGTGTACCGAGAGGAGCTCGCCGCCGCCGGCACTTTTCTCCTGGCTAATCGTTATGGAAAGTCTGCGGATAATATGGGACGTTGTGCACCGCGGAATCTCATGTAGAATCGGAGCCGCGCGCGATCCGTTGTCGACGTTGTTGAAGCAAGGAAAATTATACGTGAAGCTGGAACCACGAGAACTTATCAGCCGAATAAAAACATGTTGAAATTCGTCGTTGCTAATATGTTAAAATTCATGTGACAGATAGACGAGCGCAGAGATATTCAGTCAAAGATGATTCTCTACACGATATCTAGTCACAGGTACAGAGATTGCAATAGGAAGAGGATAGAATGTCACTGGGAAAGAATTTGCTCGACCGCTAACGATTCTTGTTTAAGCTTAATCTTCTTGTTAAAAATCTATGGCAGATAATATGCGACGCCGGTAGAATCTCGTAAGATTGCTTCGGCACGTCGACGACATTGCTGAGGAAAGGAGTGGTACACCCGGAGCGAGAGGATGGAAGAACGGTCGCTGCGCCAGTGTAAAGGAGATTGGCGACCTAACGGGGAGAAAGAGCGGGTGCGAGAGGAAGCGAGATCGAGGGAAGGGAATGTGCACGTGCGAACGGGACAGACAGTGCGCGGTGGGTGAGAAGGAGAACGACGGAGCGAGATGCATGGAGCGAACGAGAGAAAAAGAGGGACGGTGTTCGTAATCAAAGGGGCAACCCGCGGCGCGGCTGCGGCGTGGAAGAAAGTCAGCCTACCGAGCGGCTCATCAGTCCGGCACGGTGCGGTGTCCCGAATGCACGTCAAACCATCGATTTTTCGCGGGTACCTGCCACGTGATTCCGCACCGAGTATCACGCAGCACCATACGAACAACGTTCGTTCACCGGTACCGAGTGGAACCCACCAGCCGACTCCGATTAACTTCGGTACATCGCTCGATCGGTAGCCGCGACGTGCGACGCAGCGAGATAGCGGTCCATCGCGTCCATTGGACATCCGCATTTCGATAGAATCACGCGCATACAGTATAGATATTCGAGAAAATTTTACTGGAGAACGCACGTATAAATTGTCAAGGAACAAGAGTGTGAGCAGAAGGATTTTAAAAAATCGTGGATTCAAGATTGACCCGCACGAGTGTTACACGAACCGTAGCTACGATCGAAGGATTTAGCAATACTCATGAATGGTACGTACATGATAATCATCTGGAAAATTGCGAAGAAATGGGAGAAGAGACCGTCTTAATCTCTCAAGGATACAGCTTTTTGCAGTCATTCTCTTTATGCGATTTATTAGTAAGGCCAACTGCACTTTGAAGAAAAATGCAAAGCGTTGCGAAAACAGATACGAGCGAAATATAAAATGATAGCTAGGCAGAATCCAGAGAGACACTCTGAAAAGTTACTTAGACGTTAAACATTCTTTAATGTCATGTTCTCAGTAATTTACGCGTGCGCGTTCATGAGAGATTTGACATTTACCAGTTTTGACAGATTTTAATATCTTATATTAAATACTATGTATACTAAAATTTTTATACATATAGCATCATTCGATATTAAAGGAACGTTCGTTTAATCCATTTAGCAATATTCTGTATGCACATACTATATGGCTTCGATACGCGTCATAGGAAGCTATATTTCACACAAACATTTTCAACAATTTTAGCTAGCGTAAACTTCTTTGAAGAATAGCATAGACTCTCTAAATTAGTTTTAAAATCTTTAGATGAGCGGAGATTATTTTACAGCTCTTTGTCAAATAAATAAAAGATTTGCTTGCTAAATAAAAGATCGATTACAATTTTTCATTAATTGAGAAGCTGTCTCTTGCGAAACCAGTTTCAAATACAAGTTTAATATAAATATGATATATAAAGATATAGATATAACGATGCTCTCATGATTTTCTACTGGCAAAGTATTCCCTTATACGTAAATAATTATTCCTAATCCCGTGAAAGTTTCAGCGCATGCATATGCTACGCTTCGGGTAGGAAGCGTACGTTGCAAAAAAAGAAATTGTTATGCATGCGCTGAACGTGATTATCTTCCGATCGAAGTGCAGGGGAAGTAGTTTCAACACCGAGGCAAGATGCAATTACTATTTCTTACGGGTAATGAGCATAAAAAAAATATTAAATATAATTTCGCGCCAAATTATTATTAAGTCTATCATGCCGATGATTTTTCACAAAATAGCGCCAACAGCATCGTCAAAATATTCACCAAGCTCATCCGCAAACAGATAAATATTTGTATAAACAAAGGATTATTTGAAAATCATTTAACGATCGCGAATTTTTTGCTCCCAATTAAATTGTCGACTCTCGTAAACACGTATCTTCCCACGCGCGTGATACAATAACACATAAATCGGCGTTATTGTATTTTTCTTCGTGCGCGGTGGCTACGAGTCATCGCGTCGTTGCGATTGAGTACCGTTTTTTCAGAACAGCTGGAACGGTCGACGAGATTTAAATAATGAATGGAACACGTTGTCAAAATCCACGAAGCGTGTCGGCGAGCGCCAGTTGTTGCATAACGCGGCGCACTGCGGCGTCGCGCTTATGGCTGGGAAAACGCAGAATTCCGAAGGCTCGTATAATCCCATTTGGCCGAGCACAGGCATTTCCGCGCGTAGCAACGTGGAGCAACGTTAATGGCCATCCGGTGAATTTGAGTGGCTTTATAGACATACAATTTGTATCCATTAGAACATTCGGCATCGTGCTTTCCTCGCGTCTAATTACTTCAATTATTCGTTCGGCATTAGTATATACGATGCGGCCGCGCGTCAACATTGCACGCGAGGTGGTTCAAATTTGTACGGCATTAATCTCGTCTATCACAGCTGGTTTTACGTGCATTCGATCCATCATATGAGACTTGCCGGGTGGCCATAACGGTTACAGTTACATGCAAACTCTTTCCCACGCTAACGAATGGAATGTATTAATTAAAAAAAAAAAAAAAAGAAAGCGCGATTCACTCCGCCCGTATAATCGTAAATTCTCCGAAATTATCGATGTGTATCAAAAGGAGGCATTACATTATGAAATATGCTGTCAAGTATAGTAGAGCGGAGGATTGAATTGACGTAATTGCTTAGCCCGATTCGTCGTCGAATACGCGTTCGGGAATCGCGGTTCAGCTCCGCGATATTTTTACGAGGTTTCGGTGCCTACGCTCACTCGAGAACCAACACAGCATATCGAGAATGTGGTGATCAGCCTGCGGCTACGAATTCCGTTACACGCACTTGTACGGCTCCCTGGATCTCCCTATACTCTGCCCACGACGAGATTTTTATGCTCCATCTATCTTACGATTTTCGACACCGATTTAACGATCGACGTCAATTTCCCCTGGCGTGAAGTAAAAAATATTGATCAAATACGTATCTTATTTGGCTTAAATGTAATATAGTGAAAAATTAATCATAAATTACCGTACAATAATCGTTGAAAGACGTGAAATATATGTATGCCGATGCACGCAGTGGTTCTCCCCGATCTCTACATGCATTGCAAGTGTAAGATCAATGATCAAATATTTCATAAAAGTAAATCAACTCACGTGTCCGACAAGAAAATTAATTTTAGAGTTGCACGCGACGTAGAAAATTATTGCCGATGCACTCGATTAGTTTGATCACTGACGCGGAAAATTCTTTGCTCGTATAATCAATTAACGAGAGAATCTCGGACTTCAATACTGTTATTCCATATACAGTATACTCTACCGATAATGGATAATTTATTTGTTCAATATCTGCGCTATTAAATCTCACGCGATTAAATCACGACGTTGATTCTACTGTTAAAAAAAAATAAAGTAATGTTGAAACATAATATGAAAAGGAGAAAATTGGAATACATTTGACAATCGTCGAAACCTTTTGCGATCAGCTGATTGCTCGACAGTGACCCCGGGTCAATCTACTTTCTACTTCTCACATTCTGCCGAGATCAGAGGTGATACTGGCGACGGGGGGGCTGGCACGATGCCTTCGAGTGGAAGCAAACATACTTTCACGGCGACGGACGGTATACATATCGTTAAATTATCGAGATGCTGATGGGTGAAAACGGATGAAGGCGGTGCGCGTTGTTCACCTGCCCGCGAGAGAAAAATAAGAAGGAAGATTTATTAGCCGGGATACTTGGAGAGTCTCCATGCGGCTCGGAAGAATGTTTATGACAACCTGAGAGCCGCATCGCGAAAAGTTCGCGACATGGGAAATTTATCTTTGTAATTTGCCGACGCTTGAGATACCTATAATAGTACGATGAAAGCAAGCGATAAAAAAAAAATATTCGATCGAAAGCCTTTCGAGATTTCCAAGAATTCCTGCCCATTTAATATTCGAAGCAATATAAAACTTTACAGCGACTGAATTGCATGAAAATTTATAAGAAAGGGAGAGAGGTCATCGAATGGCCATCACTAATCGCGTAATATCGACGCAGAATATAATTTTCGGAACATTTGCCGTTCGAGGAACTGTGAAATAAAATTCCACTTGAGCGGAGAGGTCAATCGTGACGAAACAAATTTCAAGTCTAACAGAATACAAGTTACAGTTAGCGCTCCGTCGTAGTATACAAATGTCTCGCGTCGGAATGTAATTTATATCTACACGTGCCTTGTTTGTTTATAATTTGTCCCGCTGCTATCTATATGTAATAGCGTAATCGGTAAAACGAGCAGGTACGACGGGAACATGAAAGTTCCGCATTAAGTTGGTCACGCGACCATGTCGGTATGCAGTCAAGATCGCTTAATGATCGTCCGCGATCCTCGGCACTATGTGACACGGTTCGTCTGCCGGCGTCTATTCGCTGATTGATTTACTCTGCGAGCAAATGGATACGATTAGAAAATAACCATCTGGCGACAACGGGAAACATTACAAATTTTCTCAGGCAAGTGCTAGAGCTTCCGGCTTTGTCATAATCTGCAAATGATAGTTGATTGTATCGAGCGTTTTGTTGATTTCTGTCTGCTCCAGATAGATTATAAATAATTCTCAACGATTCTAAATCAAAACAGGTTTCGCCCCGATAAGAACCTGTCTGCCGATTACGTCACGGAGTGTCACAGAATTGTCGACAATAATTCGATTTATTTTCAGGGAGTGGTCAGCATTCCGGTGGAGCGTAAAGATCAGCGAACTTGCCATGAATTAAGATCAGTTCAAAAAATGGATGTCGCCAAGGGCACAACGGAGGACTTTGTGACGGTGGTCAGCGTCGGCAGTCAGCCGATGTCGGAAAGTTTCGTGACCGTTCTGTCGATCGGCAATAGAAAGAAAGACGATGACGAGTCGGCGGCGGCGAGCAAAAATCTATTGAACGGCATGGACGGGCATCTCGAGGAGGAAGTCGAGGTTTTCAGACTGCCCGGGGAACGTTTGGGCTTTGGGCTCAAATTCGAAGGCGGTAACAAGACTGCCGAGAGAGTTAGAAGACTGTTCGTGCAGAGCTGCGCGGAGCAAAGTCCAGCCAGCAGAGCGAAATGTTCGTGGGGCACCTTAGGCGAAGGAGACGAGGTATAAATAATAATGATAATCCGAAACGCTATGTATTCCGCGTAGACTTTTTTTTCAAATTTATTTTCTCGAGAAAAATTTTTTGATGCACGCGAACGATACTGCTTTCTTGATATTGTTTTCCGCGCGTTAACACGCGATCTAATAACATTTCTGCTTTCGCTGACATGATATTTTGTGCTGTAATGCACGTTATGAATTCAAGAAAGTAGCATTCATGAACATGTATGATTTCATTCAGTCTTAACGGCACGTGAAATCTTTCGCGCGTCATATATACATGTCGCTTTCAATTACGGAACCGACAAGTTTCTTCTGTAATGGGTAAAGATCACAATGGCTCAACAGTAGATTCTTATTGGTATTTCAATGTCGGTATAATGACTGACGTATAATTATTTGCACGCGCATCGAACCGCGACGTATGCATCTGTGGCGTAATATCAGCAGCTTGAATGAACGAGGAAAAAAAGAGAAAGAGAGAAGTGGCAGAAATCTTTATCTCGCGTAATTTAAATTCGATACGACGACCGTATACTGAATGTCTTTATTAAAAAAAAGTCGATTTTAAATTTATGAGAATGTTTGCCGGTAAAATGAAAATCGTGAATTGTAAGTACAGCGATATTCGATGTGCGTAGCATATTTTCATTTCGTGAAACAGCCTGCAAAATAAGACGGTGCAAACGCACTCTCTTTGGCTCCCACGGTGCACACTTCGTTCTATGATTTTCAAGACCTACTTCCTTCCTAATGATTCTCGAGAGAGGCTCCCTCTCACCTCCGTGTGCTTGTTTACATTGCAAATTATCGCGGGCAACAAGCTCTTCCCCGCGTCTCTTCCTGGTGCTCGACAATCACGTTACATCTCTCGCAGGTACTTTCGATCGACGGTATACCGGTGACACACATGACCCGACTGGATTGCGTGAGAAGACTGAAGGAGTCGCAATTGGTCATCCGGTTGATGGTGAGGTGCCGCGGCGCTCTTCGACCGGAAGTGGTGAGCGCCGAGAGAAAAATCGAAAGGAGCAAAGTGCCTCCGGAATTACCCGCAGCACCGCCGCCCGTACCACCGAGAAAGCTGAGGCAGCCCCGAGGACCCGCGGACGGCGAGGCGAATCCCAGTCCTATCAAGAAATGGGACAATTCGAAATTGCAGAACGGATCGCAGAATGGACCGCAAAATGGTGCGCAGAACGGCTCGTCGATTTCGCTGGTTGGATTACAGTGCGTGACCAAAGTAAACTCGTATGAGGAGAGCCTGAAGGAATCGCCAAAGGACCGTTCGCCAGAGTTCGTGAAATCGAAGCAGGTTGTAATCATAATGAAGAGAACAAATAGATTAGAAAAATAGATTAGAAATATTTAAAAATCCATTCGAAATCGAATTAAAAGTAAATAAAAATGCTATAAAAATGTAACTGAGAAAAGATTTTTTTATGTTTGTAGGAACCGCCGGAAGCAATGGTTTATCTGGACGCGCGATCACAATGCGGCTCCACGCATGGCAGCACGTCCGACGATACCGGCAGCTCCATGTCCACTGTGGTGGACAGATTTTCGACGTCCGATCGCGTGTCAACAATCTCTACGACGTCCACGGCGTCAACCACTGGTTCCGAACAGCCGAGCGAATTCTCGGGCGTCGATCGAGACTTCGACCGATCGTCCGATCGAGACGTGCTCCTGTCGCGTGCGATCTGCCCACTCGAGCAACTCGAGCGGGACTTCTCGAATCCGCCAGATTACCTGCTCCGCCGTCTCGCCAATTCTGAGGCGGTGACGCACGTGGAGTCGCGCGGCGAAGTCGAACGGATTACAGCGGTCGTCGCACCGAACACGGTGTTGATCGAGGAAACGATCACTCTTCAGCCGCCACTCAGCTTTCAGGACGCCCCGCTGAGTTACGGACATGAGACCAGGCCGGATCTCTTCTACACGGCCGACCTGGCCGCCGACTCGACGACACATTTCAGGCCAATTAAGGATGACGTGGAGCTCGTGGAGCGCGTCAACGGCAACCACGAGGAATTCCGCGAAGCGACCTGCGTTTCCGGCACGGGAAGAAGCAACAGCGACAGGTCGTCCCCGCCGCCGTTGCCGGCTAGAAATCACGTTAATAGGATCTGCGTAAACCAGATGCAGACGAGCGAAACTGGAAACGAGGCGCGTCCACGAATCACCGCAACGGTGCCTGTCTCATCCGAAAGAGACCTTTCGGAAGCTCCTCTATTGCCACCGAAACCGTTACCGAGAAAAGACGTTAAGGCTAGGCGGAAGAGACCGCCTCCGCCGCCACCACCGCCAATTATAACACCGCGAAGAGAAATTAAGCCTTCGTCGTTGATCGAATCCAATCACGTAACGGAGAAAGAGACCGAGAACCTTTCGCAAATCAACAGCACAGAACACGTTCAACCAGAAATATGTCTTTCGTTGCCAAATAAAAATAACATCCTTGATGAAAAGAGTAGAAGACTGAAAAGTTCAGATGGAAATCATGATAAAGAATCTGACATGAAGACCGGTTGCCTTGACAACGAGAAAGATAAAGCTGCAAGTTTGGGAGAAGACGCGCTAACGAACAAAGTTTTTGAGATTATCGAAATCAGAATGGCTAAAGGTTTGCAGTCTGAGCAGAAGGAGGAAATTGCAAAAAATAAACCGAATAACGCAACAGAAACTGTGAATTGCGAGCAAAATAAAGTTAAGAACGAAGCAATTAATGGAAACGAACAAGATCAATTGCAGGCTGCGAATAATTCGAATAAAGTTTCACCGGATGAAAACCTAAACTTGGAATCAACCGACAAGCGCACTGAGGATTCAAACACCGAAAAAGAAAAATGTATAGACACGGAAAATTGTTATCAAGAAGAAACTAAGATAAATGATACTTTTAAGAAGGAGGAACTATTTCTTTCAACCGAGGAAAATATCTTGTCGATTGATAATTCTATGGTGCGAGCGAATGAGAACGATGAAACTTATCAATCGCTCGACGTGGTGAATGACGACATAAAGAATCGGGAAATAAATCGAATGCTAGACAATGAGGAAGAAGACACTACCGATGAAAGCGACGACGGCGATTATTACTGGCAAAGTAATCTCGCTACCATCGGCGAAGAGGAGGAAACTTCCTTGGAATACATGAATGCGTAAGTTTGCAAATGTATATTCAAATATTAACACAGATTATCATTCTCAGAGGCTACAATTATGAATGAAAAGGGATTCTGGATGGGACTTCAGGATGTAGTTTTTAGAGAAACATATAATCATTATATCCACTTTCACCACATTGCATCTCAATTCTTACGTCGAAATTTAATATCGCTAATTTCTAACGCAACTGAGCAGTAATTACAGTGTTATATTGTGTAAAATTAATTAGAATGACTAGGCGCTTATTTCGAATAAAATAGTTGGTGTTAGCTGTGAGATAAATTGCTGGGAACTGTGTCGAGGAGTAAATACTAAGTTACTGTAGAACTCGTTGATGCAGCACCACGCAACGTACTGAACTTTAAAAAGAAATTAATTCACTTTCTTTATGGATATGGGTTACCTGCCGTGCGCGGTACACGGAGAAAAGGTTAATTGACCGTTCTAAGAATAGAAAAGAGGGTTGTCGATTACTGAGAATCGAACAGTCGTTCGAATCGGCCGTCCCACGAGGTGAACGCCTCCATGCAAATGCTCGACATTTGCTTATTGCTTTGAAAAGCGATCTCTCCTTCTTTGCATGACGTTGCAATCGCCTCTCGAACCATTCGAACGGCGATTGCTGTTTATTAAATCATTTAATAGGTTTTCCTAGCGCTGAAACGCGCGCGCGTGTAACGAGATATACAAAATACTTTTTAATGTAAACATCTAAAATAATTTTGCTTTCATTTCATATCACAATCGAATATAATCTAAAAAGACTTACTCTAAAAAGCTTTTCTAGCTTTTCTTTCGAGCAGTTAGAAAAAAAATATCGTTTCTGACCTTTTGCAGCAACGCAGACGTTGAAAATAATTCCAGCGAGCTGACGGTGGAGCCGGAAGAATCGCCTCCTGCAATCAAGAAAGATGTGTTCGTTAAAAACGGTAAGTCCATTTACTACGCTAATTAAGCTTTAATTAAATCTCGAAATACGACTTGAGTCAATAAAGCCGCAATTTATCCAATTAACGGAAGAATGCGAGACCGACGCAGAACGATTAGATATTCCGTTCGCTAATAGTAAAAGGCAACAAATCAGACATTTGCGCCGATTAAGATTCGCTGCGTAAAAGAAGTTAGCTCCGTCGCCAATCGGAGCGACCTTGAGACGCTAATTAATTAATTGACTTTGCTTTCGATAACGTCATCAACGTATTCGTTTTTCCACGATGAATGCAAATTGAAGCATCGGTCAGCGCGGGAAACGTCACGATCATTCGATATTATCCGCCAAATGCGGGAGCTGTCGTGGAAAAACAATTCCGAAAAGCGCTCGAGTGCGCAATGCCGGAGGACACCCGGTGCACACGCCCACACGCTACCGTGGGGCACGTTACACCGTCGAGTTTTATAAAGGTTACGCATTTAATCACCTTGCGTTACGCGCGCCCATACAGCTCTCGGGTTTCGCGCGCGGGCGCGAATGCATTCAAAACGGAGGCAGGTCGCGAATCGAGACAAAGGCGTGTAGCGGCGCGCCTTCCTCCGCGCCGGGAGAAATTCTTATTCACCAACGTGCATTCTGCGGTATTTTCGCGCGGATGACTAGAAGTTTGCGTTTCCTCTTCGCAACCGCGATATTACGTACGAGATCTTAATCGAGATGTCTTTTCGATACTTATTCCCTCTCTCTTTCTGCCTGTGGGTTCGAGCCCCTTATAATTTATTTCCACTTAAACACCACATCGGGAAAGCTCTCCACCATTTTCTATGGACACGAAAGCACTTGTCTTCAATGAGATACCTATTTGCGTAATACATGCTCTTCGAGGAAACTATTTAAAGAGAAATACGTTATCACATGCTCGTCGCTTCTTTCGCCGCAAGTTGATAGGAAAAATGTCTATCTCGTCAACGTAGATCGATGCTCGATCGAGAAAATGGTAATTTCTTGTCATAGAAATACCGGAAATCGAACGCCTTTCGAGCGATGGTATAATAATTCGCACATGATAGACATCACCCGACGAGATGTATTATCAAAAATAATTCACTGATAACGATGTAATATTTCTAGCATACTTTACATGTCCTTTTCTCGAGTTAATGAACACGTAGCTATCGAGAAAAAGTCCGAAGGAAAAAGGCCGTTTATATAATAGAAGGAATTACGAAGTTGGATAATAAGAAATAATGAGCGTTCATATAATAATTAATTTGCACATTACTTTTTCAAAAATGCACCGATCACGCACGTTGGTCGCTGTAACGTTAGAAGCGATGTATAATTTTCTAATGACGAGTCCTTGCTTTCCGCGCGATTTCGACATCGTCTTTACCGCATCTATTTCCTTTATCATTCTTTTTTTTTCTTGCAACGCAAACGGCGCAATTCCTGAAGCGAATCGTACGATAAGGAGTGTATCGGCGGATCTTCACCCGAGACTTTACCGTAGCCGGGACGGCTTTGTGTAAAGCGGGAAATAAGGAAATTCCGTCGACGCGGTCTCTAATCGGCACGGTCGGCGTGCCTTCGCTCAAACGTGGATTCCCGGCCGCCGGCCAGGTGGGTGTGAGAACAAAACCGTTAAGAATAATTCGAGAATCGCCTGGCAGCAAGCAGCGGCGGCGGCGGCGGCGCGGATGATGCTCGCGCGGATTACTAACGAACAGCCGAAGCTGCCGTCCGCGAAGTCCGTATTAAACCGCGAAACTTTACAGTCAGGCGCCTTCGGGTTGCCGGGTGCCGGCAACGTTTTAACCGGCCTTTTTTTTTCAAGAAATCGACGGACGTTCGTTTCCTCAACCCCGTTAAATATGAAGTCGTAAAAATTCTCACGGTATCCATTACACCCACCGTTTCGCCGCGCGCGAAACCCAAGGTACGTGAAAATACATTGCGTCATTTTACGTCGACTCGAGAGTCTTTTCTCTCACGCCATTACACGTATACGTATGCTGGAAGACTTTGGAGGCAATAACATTCTAAGCTGCGTGTTAGGAAACAAGTTGCTAAAGCTATAATTCTTTTGATGCCGAATGAGATTAGCAGGCTTAGCTTTTGCGAATTCGGATTTCTCGGAATTTCTTTAAAAAATGCAAGACTCGCAACGCTAATAATTCGATTAGCAGGCTCTTTATTCGAGTCGCAGCGTTGCACGATACGCGATCGCATCCGGGCTAGAATAAGCAAACGAGAATGCGTCTATTGTATTAGCGCTGGCTCGACGATTCCCGCGAGTCTTCCGTTAATTGTCATGTATATCCAATATTGCCCCTCGACATTTACGATCGATCCGGCGCTCGCGAGCAGCGCGCATTGCACGCGCCTGTTATAAATGGTGGATGGCCGATCGGGGTCCCGGCAAAGCTTACTAGTCACAACAATATGGCGATCCCGCGTCCCAAGCCGCGGTCTTCAGCCTCCGAAGCTCTTCCAGTGGCTGACCGCGCTCAAGGTCCCATTCCCCCTTAATCGCCTTCCTTTTCGAGATCTTTCACTTGGTTCACTTCCAATCGAAGAGACGGCGATCTCTGACGCATACTTGCGTACTGACGTGCGCCTGTACGTGCGCCGATCGCAGAAGACGGCATTCCAGCGTGCCAAGCACGGGGCCCGCATGCGTATAGTATACTGACCCAAAGATAACAAATGTCACGCAACCAACACCTATGCGAATCCAACTAGATTGGCATCGATAGCTCCTTCTCTGAGGTAGCGCTTTCGGATCGTTTCAAAGGCGAAATTCTGTCTTGATTTGTCTTGACAGATGAGCAGTTTACTTTATGTTATTGCCAAAGGTTTTCTATCAATATTCCTTCGCATATTAGTATCGAGATGTCTGCCGTATGAATTTTATTCAAACATTAATAAGTCAACGATTTAAAAAAATAATGATGACGCGAATGTTTAAGATAGATCGATTGTGTGATTTCTCATGTCACTTCGAGCATTGCGAAAGATAAAAAATAACGATCTGTGCGTACGTTCCAGATCTTCATCGCAACACCGATCTAATATGAAGTGGTTCGGAAGATTCGTTTGCTTACATCACACAATTATATAATAGGGCTTAAAAAGAATACACAAACGAAAAGCACATTCCACAATTTCAATCGAACTGTGCATTAACGATCGGCTCTTAAGGAGATCGACCTTTCCCAGGCAATCTGACGCCCGTTTCAATTTGCGATTGCAAAGGGCGATGATTAGTCTCGACCTGCCGAGGAAAGCTTTCGACGTCGGATCAATTAGTAGATATTGATACTGAATACTTTCTATTAAATATTAATGCACATAAATTCCAGACATTTTATCCGGGCTAATCTCGAGCCTTATAGAAAATTATTCGCTATTCAGTACTCGTCGTGGAACATTCGTGGATGTGCATATTAAAAAAAAGCTACGATCGGATTATTAACACCGAATAACGGATCTGAATAAGATATTTAGAAGATCGTAGAACGTAAAGTATTGCGACGTTTCATTTTGCATCTTGCTAAAATTTATATTTCCTTATTGTATAAAGCTTATGATATAAATTTACATACATGAAATTTAATTCGCAATGTTTCCTAATTGGCAAATAAGAATAAGATATTCTTGAAACATTCCATTTCGGCTTATGTTAAATCTGCATCGCGCAGGGAAACCAGGTCACGTTTTGTCACGTTCGTGCCGAAAGGATCGCATTCGATCTGACTCGCAAAGTGCGCTTAATGCATCCGATCGAGCAAGCTGCATTCCATCGCGCCAGCTCGAACGGTGCATGCAGTAAAACCGCCTAAAGATGACTCGCCTCGTTTCAAGATCGACCGGTATCAACGAATTTAACAAAGTGCGGCCGTTGAACAAGAGATTACAATGGAAATGGAAACCAGTTGTGAATTATGTTACGTGCGTTTACTAGAAGCAAGTATAGACATTACATCCTAGAACAGGTCTTATGAATCGCGCACGAATGCTCGAGAAAATCGATATCGAAGAGACATTTATTGTTATTCGTTATACAGCGAGATTGGCTGAGAAGAGGACAGACACTTCGTTCGTCGAGTCGGGTCAGGCGTGCTTGAAAGGATCTACTATGTGTCCACGTAGGCATATCGGATGCAAGATCCAAGATCCGAGAGACGACATTCCGTTGCGGCAAACCCGGAAGCGCTATACGCGTGCACCAACGTCAATATAATTAGTTACGATGCGTCATACTTAAGATGCAGATCGATCTGCGAAGCTGACGGACGAGCGGATTACTTCCACGTCGAGAGAACAACTTTAATCGTCCGCTCGGATAATGTATAAATAAACGTGAAATTACATCTTCTTTCCGCGATGTATCTCGGGGTGTTGATGATCGTTTGTGTAACATCCAGTTTACACGCCGCTTTATGCAAGCAGCATCAACCGTGAAACGTTCCCATAGTATTTATGTTCCTAAGCTATGAATCGCAGTTATCGCGACAACGATTTACCGTGAAATTGTCAGGCAACGTTTACCACGAACGATGAAGAGAAGTTAACTTTTCTAGTTCTCTATTTTCCTCATTGCTTTACCATTTTATTATCATATTTCGCACGTCCATCTTAACCAAAATATACCCTTTGAAATTACGCAGCCGTCGCAGTTATTCGAAAGTGCAGCCGCGACTCGGTTTGCCGCTGACCCGACGGTAACCCTGCGAGTTTGCGAGTTGAGTCGCGAGGCGCTAAAACACAAATCCAGGAAACGAGCGCAGAACCCATCAAGGCCCCGACGTCGGCACTTTAAAGCGCGGCGCGGCTTTGCCGTGCAATCAGCACGAATTTTTATCCCGTTGTAACCCGCGTCGTGGAGCAAATGCCGCAACGTTATAGAAGCAGGTTTTCTTTTCATTCCTCTTAAATTAAACGATAAAGATCAAGACGACCCGATCTTACCGCAATCAGAAGCGCGCATGGAGGTATTTATAAAACAAATTTCATGAATAATCAATGAATAATCTTTCAGTAAACTTACGACTACGGAACGTGTTATCGTTGATTGATCAGAAATCTAACATGTTTGAATGATTGAATGATTACTAGATAACTCATGGATCCTACTGGACCGTGATGTGTATTGTATTGCCGAAATAGAGATACGTTCGCTCCTGCCATTGAACTGTACCGATCGTGTCGATGAACAATTTTAAACTTAATCGCCGTGCGAGAACGAGGAGAGACCTTGACGGGCGTAAATCCAATATTATTACCGTCACGTTCGTCATTGTTCGGCATGTCGGTCCACGTCTCGCACGGCATACAAATATTTCCCGCGTAGCGGTAAGTCCTTACGTGTCACGTGTTTACAAATAATGGGAAAATGCAGCTAGTGCCTGGCGTTAAATGTACTGAATGGATTGAAGGCCCTTTCGACATCGAGACTTGTGCGAGACTCTCGCATTTGTTTTATGGAAATCTTGATTTCGTAAAGAGAGCGAGACTTCCGCTTTTCGCTTCGCGGAACGCTTAATGAATTCTAACTGATATTACGTTATATTACGTTGCATCATGTCCAATGTATTAAAATATATAATCCAAATGCATTGTTACCCAATACGGCGACATTGCGATATATAGCCGACAAATTTTTGACATGCCATTCAAACGGTACACGCCGTTTTTCATTAAATTCTCAAGAATAGTCTATAAACTTATAAATCTGATAACAAGTCACTTCCGCATCGGATCACACCTTCGTTTCATATCGCACACAATGCGCTCGTACGGTGAGCAAGAAATAACCGAGCGTAGCAACGAGCTTTCATAAAGTGCGCTTCAGCTCTTTCACGTTTTACGACAAACCGAAACACGCGCGTCCCTCGACTCGGAGAAATTCGAGCCTACAAAGACCATCTAACATCTTTTTAGCCACTCGATTCCCATGCCTGATGGCGAAACGATCGGCAGTGATGCTCAAACGAGCAGAAAGTCTTTTATGATCTATGCTAAACCGCCTACACATTTTGTACGAGGTGTCACAGGAAAAAAAATGACTTTCTAGTTTCCTTTTTCGTACGTTCCGTATTCTACAGAATAACGTTAAACATTCGACAGAACGCAAGTTTACAAGTCGCGGTAAGATAAAGTGACTTTTTCTAAACCGGAAAGGCAACGCGGAAGTGTCATACTCGGCTGGACAACAAAAATCCCGACGTAATCTGTCTTTCAATTTGACTCGTATTGTGCGCACGCGACTCCCCGCGGATCGCAAAACGATTTATCAACGTTTGATGTTCGGTTTCGAAATGTACCACAACAGCGAAAAGACGGCCTTTTGTTCGACAGAAATCCTACGTGGTGAGCGTATCTCTAAATCGTTCCGATACGTATCTTAACCGTGTCAGGAATTCGACGTACAGATCGTCGTCGATTGTATATGTCGTCATGCAATAGATATCGGCATGACAAAAATTACATATCCAGATGTTATCGAATTATATATGCCAAAGTAAAATTATACTTTTCGCGAGAATAGAATCGCGAGTTAATATTTATAAACACAATGATAATATTTGTGTAACAGCATCAGTTTATGTTCCGATGTTATTTGTATCATTAAAAAACACGTAGATAAATATAGGATCATTAATGAATGGCGAGGATGGTCCAAGAAGTACGGGATATTTTCAACGAATCATTACATATATACGATGAATCGTATGTCGGTATATAACGGGCTAACACGAAAGTGCCGCGCCGAGCGATTTGTCTTCAAGATGAAATTTCGGAGAAGGTGACAGCGTCTGAGGCAACGCATCGCGTTGGACGGCCAGTGTGCTCACCGGCGCGGCGTCAGCTGGCCGCATTAATTAACGGCGAAATATGAAATACGAGCTTTTCACAATTTTGGCGAATTTATCGGATCAATTTACACGCGTGCGCGCATTTATGGTGTGCTATCGAGTTATCTCGAAGGTAACCTATCGGGAGTAAAGGCACTTCTCCTCGAGAGACCGGTAAGGAAGCGTCGTCCCGCACGGTGGAAAGGGATGCCCGGCGCGACGTCTCGAGCAGAGGCAGAAGGCGTTCGCCAGTCTCTCGTCGACTCTCAAGTCAAAACGTTCCGAGGACTTTCGCGTGTGTGCTCCGCCTCGCGTGTTAGGTATGGTTGCCATAATTCGCCTATGTTCGAATCGAGTATTACTCGCATATTCCGAAATCGTTTGAGTGTATCTCCTTAAATCCTCGATTCGACACACCTTCTCTTACGATTCTTTCGCAAATTTCTGCGATACACAAACTTCGAATAATTTTCCAATGGAACTTTCAGTCGGCTGATGTCAAAATATACTATTTAGCAAATTTTAGAACGAATTGGAGCATAAGCGAGTTTGTAATTTGAAAAGCGGAACGAAAGCTTTCGCGCTGCGGTTTTCTTTGTATGAATCGAAAACATATTCTTCGTGCTCGGTGTAGCGTGAAGCGATTTTTTCATGGTTCACCTAGAAGTAATCGTTTACAGTGTTTCGTTTTCAAGCGCGAACATGTGCTCCCGTAACGGAGTGCGAAACGTGTAATCAGTCTGCGAAGCTTAGAGGACTACAGCACAAATAGAGACACGCAGCGAGAGGAAAATATTTGTTTCTCGGCACGGTAAGATATTTATGGGAATTTGTCAGTTCAATTTAATAATCGTTATTAACACTATTGCAAATTTATAATTAAGTTTTCTGCTTTCACTGTTCCGCAAACAATACTTGATTGGCTACGCGAAGGCAATCGATGCGGAAAAGTTTTGCTAAGCGTATCTCCTGTCGTGGTGTATACAAGAAAATCGCTCTAATGCTGAAGGAAGGCCGATTTTACGGCGCTAATCGAGCCAGGTTGATTCGCGAAGCGCCTCGACTTCGAACGTTCATTAGACCGTGGCGCGATGAGGTAACAATTGGTCTTCGGTGAATCGCTAAAAAACGAGGCACGATCTCAGTTAATGTCAGCGGTAAATTAGACTGTCTTAAATGGGCTAAACATGTCGTTTCCATGCAGATTTCAAAATCGAATTTTAAATTGCGATTCGCTGCAATCAGGTGCAAGCAGCAGTTTCCTATACGTATTTCGTGATCGAGTCGCAATCAACTCTTGGTTTAATCGCGTTGTAATAACATAACTGCCGTTTAAGGATTTCAGATAAAATTGTCGTTACTGAAATCTCTTCTGATCTGTGTGGCAGAAGAGTGCACGTCTAATATGAGCGAAATAAACATATTCATATTGAAATTGGTTTACGAGACTCAAATTGTATAGAGTCTTATGAAATCGATAATATTTTTGTGTCGAATTTAATAACGATGTCGTACAATGTATAGCTTTGGGGCACAACATCGTTTACAGTAACAAATTTAAAGAGTGCAATAAATTAAAACAAATTTAACAGAATATAAAGTATTAGCTGGCACAGTGCATCACAGTTTTCCCATCACAGATAAAAAAAGATTCCCTCCCGGATCGATTTCTCGCTTCAAAGAATCCAAAAAAATCTTGAAGGCTCACGAACATTTCTTTCTCTTAATATAATTATCTCTACAGTCGTTTTAACGTTTAAATGCTATTGTGGTTGATAGAAATAATCGTTAGCTGTCATTGAAATCTCATAAGTATCGCATTGGAATATTTTCACACGGCTGTATCCAGCTTAAGATGAAATAGAATGAAATTTATATCCGACGTCGACCTCGAAGACTCACTTTCACTGGTCGCCACCCACAGAAAAATGCAGCAGCTGTTACGCATACGCCGTGATATTTTCTGAACCTCAAGGGTAAAGCACGCTAAGGGCTCCATAAGAGGCAGCTGCAGGCGTCGCGGATGGAGTACACCTGCTTGAAAGTATTTGTCGATTCGTCCAGTTTTTTCTTTCAGAGATCACGTTTAGGCTCAATTGTGCCGCTAAACGTGCCGCTATAGACATACTGCCGTTTAAAATAATTCCAAAAACTGGGACGATCTGCCGGGACTTCACATTTCTATAATTTAAAGACTTTTTTTTATGTGCGGATGGTATAGATCCGGTATAATATCCGAATCGAGAGGGAAAACGTCTGTTAAGACATAGAGAATAATTTTATATATTTCAATACTTTTCACAAACGTCAATTATTATCAATTGCTTAAGATGAACGTCTTTCTTACGATATTGCGTCCCGATTTTTCGAGCGACAGCCGGCAAGTGCGCGCATACGTCACTCATGGCGGAAAAGAGATAAAAGAGTCGACGGGTCTCGCTCATCAGAAAGCACAATTAGCTCATTCATCGTCCGCGTCTCTAGTGTCAGCGTACGCGAGCGTACGTATTAAACGTGTGCACGGCCGACAATCGTGCACGAGTACGAGCCGGGGTTGGTTTATCGGTGCAGGCGCCAAGTAGTCAGTCACTGTGACTCGCAAGATACATTCTGTTAGCCATGCCGCGGCGTTCAAGAGAGTTTATTATTACACTAACAGCGCGCCTTATACATCGCGTGCATCGAGATACACGTGTAGGTATTCGCGACGGCGGAAGATCGCCGCATATAGAGGAGACCGCGGCTCGACTCTTCTTAGATACATCGTTTGCGGTTTCTGTACTTAGCTAAAATAAACACATGCCATAACGAAATAAAAGGAGGCAGCGAAGTAATTTGAAAAATGCGCCTCGTACGTCGACACCGTCAACGAACCCTCTTTCAAAATGTATACGCTACCAAAAATAGGATATCTCGATCAGACAATAAAACGTCGTTTCTGCCGCGGCAATTTCGTCGGTTATTTTTATTTAAGATCATTTTTAGGGTCTAAAAAGGGTGAGTAGCCCGCGGCATTGCGGGCATCGAAAACCGGCCTGGTCGCGATCACATGAAAGCAAACTTCATTGCTCCGTGCAGGCGTGGGTATGCGAGAGGCTTGATCGCAGCCGCGGGGCTAAATTCCCGAATGCAACGCGTAATTCACTAGGTCGAGGTCGTTACTTAATCGAAATCGATCCACCTTTCAATTCGTTATATCACCTCTGAAAATGAAGCAAGACACAATGTAAATTACAATGTGATCCAGAAATAGTTTAGCGCTTGGATATCTCCCAAAACAAATAATAACTGTCAGAGTACTTGACAAAACTCTTTCTCGATATATTCGTAACATATTTGTTTTTAAAAATGCGACAAAGAATATCTCAGAAGAATAAAATCGTTGTTAGGATGATAAAAATTAGAATTCTATTTATAAATCTTTAAATATTACTTTTATACGATAGATATTTACTTCGATAAGAAGAACCTACCAATTAATCAAGTTAAGTATTAAGCTTCTCCAACTGTGTACAGGAAATTATCCAGACCTATGAGAAATCTCGACATGAAGCTTGATGAGCATAGTTTCGTTCGCGAAGAAGTTAAAAGTGCTGATAAGAGCACGCATTCTTTCGCCATGTGCAACGTGTCTTCCCACCTCCTCACCAACACATCGCGGGCGCAAGAATGAATACGCCTATTACTGCTCGCGAGATTAGAGCAATTTATGGTATCGTCTGAGAATACCGACCTACACGGTGAATACCGTACTTCCGGTATATGTTATAGCGATTTTTCGTTCGGTTACTCTTGCCGCCATTTTGTATCCCAAAGTAAAATTGCGCCAAAGAGAAATAACGTAGGCGAAAAAACAACGATAATTAATTAATAAATTCACGGGAGAAAAAACTAAGCGTTTCTGTTAAAAATAATATTCTAAGAAAAAATTATCGGCATCGAGCGGACAACACGTTAATAAGTTTACAATGTTCCCAGAGCTCGTAGGCATAACCACGGATGGCTATAGGTCTAAATACATTTCTCGATAAACTCCCCTGCTCACCCACGCTACCGCTGGCACGCCAAGTACGTTAAACGCGTTTATTCCACCGATACACGTCGCGGCCATGGCCCGCGCGCACGGTCCGCTTCTTTCTCTCGCCTCCTCTCTGTTCGCCACAATGCTGTTTTCAGTGGCAGGCCTCAATTTGCCATAATTATTATGTTTATCTTCCTCATTCACTTAAGTCCGCACACCGACTTCGACGATCCGGTCCTTCGTGTTCGTTGTTCGGCGCGGCAACACCGAAATGCCGTTGTAAACGCCAGGTATCGTCGTGCCTTCTTTCATACGCGATTTAAAACACAGATATTGACACTCTTTTTTACTTATTTAATAGAATTGAAATTCTCTGCCCGCCGGCTATAACTGTAATTGTGAGAGATTCATCGTTTCAACGTAAAAAATGAAGAATGCCTTAGAAGAGTCCATTATACTTAAGAGAACGTTATACGAAATCGACAGCCGAGTCGCTCGTAATTATTCTGTGCGATTATAAGCAAGAGAAATCCAAGATTCAATACGTCAGTTCAAAATTCAATGAGTCTACGAGTGAAACGTTCATGCGTAATCCGCTATATTCGCATTCGCGAGCGTTATACGCGTGGCGCTGCGCGGCCACGCGCCAATCATTACATCCTGAAAGGGGTGGGTCTACCACCGATCTACTGTGTCAAATCCAATTTGCGTGATCCTTTCCCTCGGAAACGACACGAAATCCTCGTCACGCCCGGCAATTTGCAGCGCGCGCTCGGCACGGCGTGCCGACTGCACTTTCGACGAGCGTGAGAAGCGAGTGTCGGAATGTTGCACCTACGAAGAAAATAACACGACTTAGCGCGCTTCTCGATCATCGGCTAGACACGGCGTGTACAGAACACGCATTAACCGTTTTATAAAATCCACCTCGGGCGTTACAACTTTATCCGCGATCGGTCTGAAAATATTCCTTCCAAGGCTCGATGTGCGATCTCGCGATGCAACGCGATGCAGGACGATGCTCGTGTATAACGTCCGGTTCCTTACGTGCGCGCCACGTAGCCACGCGCCGATCATTACGCTCGCGAGAAGGCGGTAACTACCACCGATCCAGTTTGTCAAACGCAATTTGCGTGATCCTTCCTCGCCGCGGAAACGACACGGAATTGACTCGGCAACACGCCCAATAATTTACGGTTTTTGTACGAGGCCTCGTGGCGCGTGCGATAATAAAAGCAACGATGTTACGACTGACGTCTTTTTTTCTGATGGAGAATAGATTAAATAGGATTGGACGATGTACTTTGAAATGGCGTTCGGACAGGAGAAATCGTCTCCCGCTATGTCATCGTCCGACGTACCTTTTGTAAAGGTGGATGTTTAGATTGGATCGAATTGTATGCAGTGCCTCATGCGTTTCTCGAAGTCAAAAAAAAGTTGAGGACTTTTCTTGGTACGACTGGCCCTTGACTTCTCGGTACCCGCGATGTTAGTGCATTCACCATGTCGGTTCGGTCCAAGTGGAGTTAGCACGAACGGATTGTTTCTGCGGCCGAGCGAAGGCCTTTAGGAAAGTGTAAAGAGCGTCTAAAGCGGGAAAGAGAGAACAAGAAGGGCAGCAGGAGAAAGAAAGAGAGAGAGAGAGAGAGAGAAAGAGAGGAGTGACAAAGTAACTCTGGCGAGCCGGATGAGGCGCAAGGAAGAGAGAAAGAACGAGGATGGAGCGAAAGATGAGCGTGGGGAGAAGAAAGGAGGAAGAAGTTGGCGAGGAGAGGAGATGGAAGATGGGAGATGGTGGAGGAGAGAAGGACGGTTCAAGGAGTTAAGAAGAAGAAGAAGAAGAAGAAGTTAAGATGGTCCAGCGCAGGCAGCATCACCACCGCAGCCGGAGGTGATGACCTGCTCAAGGCCACCCGCTCCCAACCTCTCGGAACGAAGAGGGGAGCCACTCTTCTTATTTTTCGTTGCTCCCTTTTCTCTCTTTCGGCTCCTTACAACTCTCCATCTCTCTCGCTCTTTCTGCTTCCTTCCTTCTGCCTCTCTCCTTTTCGCTCCTTCGGTTTCCGTGCATCTGCCTTTCTTGGTCTCGTTGAACTTTGCACGGTCCTTTCTCTCCTTCCTTCTGTATCTATCTCGTCTTCCCCCCTCCCCCTCTGTTATCATTCTTTTTATATTTCTGAATTTGTTTGATAACTCGGAAAATTATTGACTATTGCGAAAAATATTGCGAAACGTATAAAGTAATCTAAAGATTGCAAATTTTTCAGTTTGAAATTAGTTACATCTATGATCTAGAATAATCTAGATGTATGTTAAATAAAATATCATAGTTATCACAAGTTTCAATTTTTTAAAGCAGATTTTTTTATTAAATGGCTAGTAGCTAATGGCATGTGCGGCATTCTTTAAAGTAAATCCACATTAGGATGTCAACGAAGATAATTCCAGTAAAACTCACGATGCACTCACGTGAACAGAAGAAAAATCGGCTGCAATACAAGAAGTCGTAAAACGACTAAGATCACGCGACTAATCCGCTTGATGCCGCGATAGTGTTCATCGGCGAAGAATGCAATACACTGTCGACACAATGTAGGAAAAAATCTGGTTTTCCTTTATTCTCTAACTGTTCAATTCGATCGACCGCTTTTCGGAAATGCAATCCCGAACGCGCGTGATATGCATTATATGTGCAAATTATAAATCCTGCAGAAGGAATTTCAAATAAATTAAAGTTTCCTTAAGAAAGTTATTAATCAATAAAATTGATTAAGAGAAAATTATTACTTTAGAAATATAAAATATGATGTGTCAGCAAAATTTTTAATGGACGTTCAATTTATGAAAGTATGTTATATAAAAAAAAATATTTCGGGACTTATATAGGAACGTCGCACTTTGACATGCACATGCACAGTTCGGTGTATCTGGTGTTTAATAGGCGCGGGTCAACTGGAGTCAACGGTGCAGCTGTGTCCACCGACGGCAAGCTATTACCTCGATTCATTATCAGTGACCTCTTTATGCACAGTCTCTTGTTTCATAGGACTCCTCCGTGCGGCCCGCCGTTAACTCTTCTTAATTGAAATGTCATCCATAGAGCGGTTTCCGCCAGAGCCGCGTAATTGCAAACGCGTTTATAAAAATATATTTCACGTAAATATGATCACACGCGTGATTCCAAAATACGAATTATCGTGCATTTTAATTATCCGATTTTTTTTTCTTTACTTGTCGCCTTTGGGTAATTGTTACTTTCGCTATTTCGACAAAATGACAGTGATTTCTCGCACGATCGTAGCTACGGCCAGTGAACAGAGTTATACCCTTTCGCGCACAGGCATGCTATATGCTTAAAGGTTGATACGGTAATGGTTAGACACCGTGTATACGATAAATAAAAGTACGTGTGCACATTTGTTGCAGCGCGAGATGACGAAGCAAACCGCGTGAGCAAGATTGCAGAATACACGGAGAAGGAAAGCAAGAATCCGAACAAAGGTAGAGAAATAGAAATTATTAACGATCTATGAAATATATCTACACTTCTCTCTCGTAGATTTAAATACTTACTTCGTAATGGGCTTAAATGATAAAAGCCGAATAAAAGTGCGCGATTTTTTTGCGCAATCGGCCGAACAATGTAGGACCGCAAAAACTCCTCCAAGAGATCAGCATATTACTTTCCCGAACGATCTTATCGCGGAGACATTAAGGTATGACTTGACAATTTCGACAATACTATTGCGTTTTGTGTGCAGTGGGCCGTAGATTGTATTCATCGTCGGGTACCGATAATTCCGGGTTATGGCGCCGTGTCAAAGTCACTCCTTCGCGAAACGAAAATGTCAGGCGGGCATACGATCGGTAACGGCCAGTGTACCGGATCGGCCGGATCGGTAACAATAGCATTAAGCCGCGTGAATACCTTGCAGTTTACGCCGATCTCTCGTCCTTCGGCACGGTGAAAGTCTGCAAGAATTCGCCCTCGATCGTGTTGCGAACTTCACATTGAGATCCTCCTGACATGTCACGATCTCGCCTCGAAACTAGTAACGCCGGATAACGAACACCTCACGTTGTCTTCTTGTAAAACAGCAACGCCGATCGTGCCATTGTCCGCCCGAATGCCGCGAAGTCACGATTCTTAAACAAAATATAAAAGAAATTTCTTAAAATCTGCAATTTACAGCCTAATCAAGTAATCAATGAAGTTATCCCGCGTTATTAAAATGATAACTGCTTTTACAGAGAGGTAAAAATTAAGAGTAGCCCATAATCCGCGCGATGGAGGATCAGGGATCAAAGTGCGACAGGAAATTGAGGCATCTTAATCATCTAGTTTTTTATCCGATGTAAAACTTAAAGCCGTTTGTTAGCATACCGGACCCGTGAAGATAATAACAAATGCCTCTCTCTCCTCGTCTTTCGACTTCGCACGCAGATGCGTATCCTCTGCAGTTTTGTCTCGACGCGGTAGTTCCAAGAGTATAGATGCAACGAACGGTCGCTATCAGTCTTTTTCCTTTTTTCCGTAAAAAATTAATTGGATAGGATTCTCGCGGAGTGATTCGCTTCCTACTCGTTTTACAGCCCGCTCCCACGAAGGCACGAGCGAAGTCGGCGATGGTAAGCGTCATCGGCCTCTCGAAGCACGTACATCGGGCCGCCGCGTTTAATGCCAATGTTTCCGCATTCTGGAATCTTATTTCTGAACGGGGAATATTCGCTGTCTAGCCGATGCAGTGGCAAAAATGTGCTGCCGACTGCTCACGCCGTGTCAAATCCTCTCGTGAAACCACGCGCGAACATCAGCCGGACGCCGCCGCCGCGCCGCGCCTGCACGCCGCGCCGTGTCGGGATTTTATGGTCTGCATATACTCGATTGCATACGCGCCTTAGGTAGTTCAAGATTCGTTCGAGGGGATTGCCGATTTTATCGTAGATAGATATCGTAGATAGAATTAATCGTCATTGCGACGCGCGGCACTTCCGCGATGTAAAATTTTATTTCTGCCCACGAAACGTCGGGCCGACACCTAACGGCGAAAATATGACGTGGAACTTGGTTGAGTCTCTCGCCATTACACTCAGAACTAAAGATTTCACCCTTGTGGATCCGATAGAGTAAATCGAAGAAGAATATTCCTGACATTCCGACTGATTTTTCATGCTTTCGGTAAGAGGTTTAAGCATATTGGGCAACAGCATTTCGGTATCCCTTTTCATGAAAAAAAAAAATGTGGGAATTAATCCGCGGCGTTCAGAACGTTAAACGAATCTCTCGCGATATGACACTTCTCACTTCCGAGAGTGTGTCAGAAGTTAAATGTGATAAATGGACTCTGTACCCGTGTCGGCACGATGTAACGCGAGTCCGCATCTTATTTAAGGATCTTTCAACCATTCGCGCGACAGTGCAATACTGCCACGACGTATTATGGAAAAGGTAGAAAGATAGAAAGGTGATGTAACGCGTGAATCAGAGTATAAGATTACCGAGCAAAATGTTGAATTTCGTAACCGGCAAGAATCGACCAGCTGTCCCTTTATCCGAGTTCGTTGTTCGGACGATACCGCGGCGGTTCGGCATGGATTATCTAATATCTGCACGGGTCGTTATATTATAACGCTGAACGCTATTCGAACATTCCTTCTCGTCTAACTTTGTGAACGGTTGGTGAGCGCGAGGAAACTCGTGCGTATACAAAAAAATCGAATTGCAAGAAGCAAAACGTTACGCAGAATAGTCATGAATTGCAGAGCTAATATTAATACGAATAATCTTTACAAAGTAACGATTTCTGACAAGTATTACGTGAGAAAACGTAAATAGGAAGGAATACGAAGTCCTAAATCTCCTAAATCTCTGCAACTCGAGCTAAACTCTTTAATGTTCGATGTATTAAGTTGCTTTACCCTGCCTAAGTCACGAAAGAGGAGCTCACTTTTCCGAAAGTAATAAGCTACGACACAAAGCTACAACGAAACATTTGTTGGAAAATACAATAAAATTTGGTAAAATGTGCAATGTTACTATATATAACCCGTGCTATTCATTTCTTTAACATATGTTTTTTTTATCAAAAGAATCAAGCCGAGCACAAAGATCATCGCGGCATCTGAAAATCAATTATTTATCACGCTGTAACACGCGGATTTATTGCTAAATACATTGCTTCACATCAGACGATACATCATTTAAGACATTTAACGACGCGAATGTCGCACGATCGTCACGTCGGCCGATGGGGCAAAAAGAGGGAGACCATTATTAGAGGAGATAAATATAACAATTAATAATCGTGTTACAAGGTTCCACCGCTTCCATTGCAGTACGTTGACGCAACGCGGGCGGTTCGGATCTCGGTGCCAAGGACAAGTGGCTTTTAGCGACGGCATTGATTTTGCGGTCTGCCTCCTTTCTTTTCCAAAACAGTATTCCACGAAGAAAGCCGTTTCGCCGCTCATTGCGACAAACGTTGTCTTCGCTTTCAGATACTGTATGCACGATGATGTAATTTACAACCGCAATTTACGTATGGTACACAATCACCATTACCATACCTGCATACCATCATACATATGGGCATGCATAATAAGAATTATCTTAGTCACGGAGTAAAATTGCATCCAATATCGTTCAGTGATCTACACTGTTTCTATATCGAGAACTCTTGCTGCAGTTATATTGTAATTCCTCTATAATTTGCAGACTATAAAAAAACGTCAACGTAGCAAAATCAATGATAAGCATCGTAAAAATTTTCCGATATTTTTGCCTTGGATTAGATTTATAAACTTTACTGTTATGTTATACGTCAGCCTAATTTCAATGCACAAATTGATACGTTCTCTCGTTTTTATTGATGAATCATTTAATCGCCCACGGAATTACGAAACGACGTAATTCAGTGGCATAACAAAATTATCGGTTCATCTTAAAGCTGATTATATCGTATAGCGGTATATCCAGCTCAGTATAGAGCTTCGGTTAGCGTCCCACAACTTTTCTTCGGCGAGCAAACGGTTTCGTTTCGTTGACACATTCCGTAAGATTAATCGACTCACGTAGCAATTCGAATGACATCCCGCAAACTAGTACACAAGACACAGATCTACGCATTCCAAGAGAAACTGTCGTGTCTCGTGCAGCTAATTTATGACGTATGCGCCTCTGTATAGCTATTTCGCGATTGTCTCGATGGATTAGAAATAAATTACGGACATCTGCGAACGTGAAGTATATTGTAACGAGAAATGACGCGCGCTTGGATGGACGCGTCCAAAGAAGAAATTAAAGACGAAAAGGCGCGAGCGCGGGGATCGAGGGGCGAAGTGACGCGTGAATGCACGCTGATTTTTCGCATACGGTATAATGCCTGCAAAGAATGTAATTCCGAGCAGCGAAGTTAAAAGCGTGGCAGCCGCGGTGGCACACTGAAAACGCGAGACTGTCCCTTCTCTCGTGCACGAAAGCGCTTGATGTCGGCGCTGACCGCGGAAGCTGGCCTCGACGAGCAATGTCGCCCAGTCTTACGACAGCCTTCTTGCCAGTACGAACGAGAGAACTTCTGCCGTTGTTTCCTCCTTCATCGCGCGACGATACATCGACATTCTTCTGAGAATTCGTTTCGTGCCGACCAAGCACAGGCTCGCGCAAAACGCACAATGAACTTCTTCCACGTGAAAGTTTGCCATAACCGCGAAACGAGTTATGTACTCTTCGATGATTAAAATTAATTGCCTGTCAGTTTAACGCTCGCAAAGTGGTTGTAAAACAGGACTGGTCCTCGCGAATTCTGGATCTTGTACGCGCTATATCTAAGGTATATTATCCTGGTAAACGTACAGAGTATCCGTTTTTCACCGGTTACTTTCAACTCGATGCATCAGTGAATGCAGAGCGCACATTATTCTGCCTCGAACCTTCATACGTTTGTTTTCTAATTTTCGTTGTCTCTCTCTTACTTGAAATAATAATAATTTAAAGAATAACAGATGAAATCTTAATTTACATGCTTTTTTTAACTGCTCTCTAAATCTGAATCGGTGCATAGTCACTGATTGTCAATGGTTATTCATTGAGTGCATCAGTCCAAAGTATTTCGCTGATAATCAGTGAAATTATAGTTAATATTAATAGTTTAATTATAGATTATTAGTAAAATTATATTTAGATTATAAGGACTGACTTAACCAGTGATTTTTCAGTATTTTTCCACTGATTCAGATTTAGAGAGTGACTGGTCATAATGAATTGATAATTATAACTTCACCACAATCTCGTAATCAAATATTTGCCAAGATGGAAATATGTCTGGTACAACGCCCGACACTTTCGGTGATTTCTATTACATTATTATTTTAAGACAGTATAAGAAACAATTTGATTTCAAAGAATTATTAATCTCTTAATTTATTCAAGTCAAATAATATTACTCCGTTTTATATTTTATTTATTATACGTTATTATGCCATACGTTTGCATTGTTTATTGAAAACTTTTATAATTGAATATTCCGTGTATTTCCTGTGTTGCCAACAAAATAAATGTCGAATTGTACAGAATAGCTAACGACTGGATTCACGATAAATTCATACAGACGAAATTCACGCATACTCGAATGCATTTACGCACACGCTGATACGCGCGGTGTCTCTGATACCGGTACAAATATGGTGCGATCGTCTGGATGCGCATCGAAAACCATCAAGCAGCGCGAAAGTTGCATCTGTTGCATGTGCGTGCGCGATCGACGATTAGTTACGTCGCGCTGCACTATGTCAGGAATGTTAATCAGGAGTTAGCGCGGCACGCTTTATTAACCGTGAATTAAAGTTAGTCAGAGTTTCGCGGTATAGCGGCATACGTAAGCGTTCGGCAATGCGACAACGTATATGCACCCAATGATTTGCAATTTACGAGCAGCTGGATATTTTAAGAATTTTACTCGCACACTTCAACCTTCGTAGATAGATGAAGAATGTTCAAAATAAAACTTTACATTTCGATATCTCCATTATGAAGAATTATACAACACTCTCAATAGTATCATAACTTGCCCAATTTAAATATACCTGCTTAGACGAGATAACGTATAATATGCAAATGTTTTATCTTGTTTTAGAATGTGGAAATCCTTGAGACTATGCAAATCTGTATAAGCCAAATAATCTATTCCGTCGAATTGAGCGATAAGAAATTCGAAATAAATCTTATACTTTGAATAAAGCATTAGAAGTAACAAATACGAAATATAATAATAAATTGGAGTAAAATAAAATATCTGAAATAACAAAAATATTTAGAACAAAAAATGCGGAAATCTTAAAGAAAAAAACGATTAATATAAGAGATTTTTCAAGATTTGCATTTTATATTTTGCTTTTAAAAAAGCAAAATTTTTAATTCAAGATAGAGATTAAACTTTCTTTAGGATATATTCACTGAAAAGTGTGAAAAATTGTAAAATTGTGCGCTCATGATTCATCAGACGAAAAGCATGGAAAATCGAAGAGATGATGTCATTTTTTTAAACGATAATACGTTCACTGCGATGTATAATGTGTTGATATATGCGCGATGAATCATTCAAGTGGTTTGCTGGTTTGCTATTTAATAGTGCAAATATTTTTCCTAATGCACTTCCTTTCCGAAAGAATTTTTAAAGCATAACATAATAATATATATTATATTAAAGCAGAAGAACGCTGAATTAAAATTTACAAAAAGTACGGAAGAATTTTTAATGAATTAACTTTTTCGTCATAAATACATAACGATATAATAAAAAGGTTGTACAAAGAATAAAACATTTTCGAATCTTTTCTCTGAGAATTCACGCAACTTATGATATTTCACTGAGCAACGAGGATAATACCATTCAAACGCATTCTATCAACGCAAATTCGATTTCACCTTGAATCCGCTAACTTATCAGAAAATGAAACAGACATTCTGTACAAACGATAGCTTGTTAAAACATAATAGGAACAGCAATCATATTTATTTTGTTATCTTTTCCATCACATTTAAAAATAAATCATGTAACGTAGTTTTAATAGACATTAAAATATTTCAGTTACTATTCTAGTAAATCAATATCCTAAAAGTTAAACTTAAAAAAAATTTGTTAAATAGTCTAAAACTTAAACTTTCATATCGATATTAAGAATGTATTCGAAAATACTGTTGCAGACACAGTAAATGGTAAGATGGAGAACTGCGGAGGCGGCCAGCGCCTGCCCCCGGACGGGGACGAATTTCCAGCGGCGTACCAAGAATTCAGCAACAGTAGCAACCAGCCACCGTACAGATATATCGCCACGGCAAGGACAGCGACGATAGCCACGAATGGCGGAGGACAATTGTGCAACGAAAACGAGTCGTTCCGTGCTGGCGAGACTCTTAAAATGCTCGCGAACGACAGCAACGTTGTCGGTTCGAGGAGCATTATTCTACCCGATAGTAAGATGACGTTCGCAGGCACTGAAAACGTGAGGCAGGATATAAACAAAGTCGCTTTGGCGAATATGGAGAACGTCCGGTCCGAGATGGGCAAGGCTACGTCGACTAATGCGGATAGTATATGTCAAGACGTGAAGTCCACCGAGATTACTGTCGAAGAAAAAAAATCATCTTATCACACTTCGGAAGATATCGCGAAGAAAAACGCTTCCATCATCGCGGGAAGTTCTCCTTATTCTTGTCAGACGGCTAACAGTAATTTAATGATGGGCGAGAAGAAGATGGAGATCGCCGGATATTATCACAAGGCCGTGACGACGATCGAAGAAGTGCCAAGCCACGTGGAAAAGGACGCGCCTGTTGATATCCCGCCGCCTCTACCATTGACAGGTACTCATTACTTACCTAGCTTCAAATATAAATCTCTCCCGTTTTTTTTTTTTTTTTTTTTCACTGAGAAGCAACGTTGACACATCAGAAATATGTTATTAAATTATTAAATTTTCAATATTTCCGAGAAGATTGACTTCTCCTCCTTTTGAAATCAATTCAAGTACATCAAGTACATCACATTTTTATATCACCTTCGTTTCTTACACCTTTATACTTTTTGCAAAAGTACGTTATCTTATTTACAGGTCCGCCGAAAATAGAGCAAACGGTGCTGCATGCAAGAAACGCGGCCCCTACGATAGACTCGCCGCAAAGAAAGTTTTCCTTGAACGGCGATCTCTGGAGGCAAGACGACAAGTCCGAGCGATCTGTTCGTGACAAAATCGCCATGTTTTCGTCGCAAAGCAACCTTGACGCGCCTCTATTTCCCAATGCCATGACAGCGGCGGCAGCCACGAATAACAGCAAACGCCTCTCCAAGTACAAGTCCTCCGAGGATGTTTGCTGCGATGACAAGAGCAACGGACAGAAGGATCGACCGTCTTTCTTCGCCGACAGGACGCAGAGTTCTTTCGATCTCACCGATTCAGCCAAGACTATGACTGGGCATGACTCCGCGAAGAAATACAACCAGAGAACGCCTAGTTTGCCTCAGACCGCTCAACCTGCTCTGTTGAGTCCAACTACGCAATCTACGCGGGTTCCAAAGACGCTGCCAATCGTTCCGTCGAAAACTATATCACTGTCCAGTCCATTGTCAACTTCGTACGACAAGCAGAATTTCTTAAATACGGCGGCGAAAAATTATTGCGCGAACATCGCCGAAAGCAGCAGTTTGCAGAACGACGTGTATTCGAATATCGGCAAAACTGTGAGCTCTTGTGGCAATTCTAGCAACTCGATCAAAGCAACGAGCACGCCTTCGTTAACGCGAGCTACCAGTTTTTCGGGCCCGACACCCTTCGCGCAAGATCGGGATTCTTTGACAGCCGATTCCCCCAGTAACTCGCAAATCTCAAGAACGAATTCCTTAGCGTCCACGTTTAGACGACCCGGAGAAGATGTGAGGAGAAACAGCTTGAATCAGCTTATCGAGCAGAGACGAAGATCTATATCAAAGTTACGTGGTCTGATTATACCGGAAAAAGATACCGTATCGATCGATCAACCAATCGTTGATTTACCAGAAATCAAATCGCGAGATTCAATATTGCATCAGGTAAGATTAGAAGCATAACATAAGCGATTCAACATGGGATATTTTCAATTCGAATTTTACGCTTAAAATCTTTCTTTCATTTTAATTCTCCAATTTTTTCAATCTTTCTTTTATTTTAATTTTCCAATTATGTAAAATGAAAAATCTTTTAATTTTTATATTTCGTAATACAATTTTTGCATAATTTATCAGCTACTATTTTGAGAAATTCATTTTTATGAATAACATTTAACATTTCACCATTTCATGCATGCAGAAATATTATGTAATTGTTAAACGTACGTTTTCTCTTTCAGATACCAAAGGTAAATATTCAAGACAAATGGGGGTCTCAAAGTTCCTTAGCCAGCAACGCCAGCACGGCGAGCCAGCCCTTGAAAGCGACAACGTCCTTCAAGATGCCGGCGCCTCAGATACACTCCAAGTATTCCCCGGCTTTCAAGAGAAAGTCTCTCACGGTTTACGGTACTTCAGTGACGACAAGCTCCGCGATAAACGGCGGCAGCCCGATCAAAAGCTCTCCATCGACCGCGATGTCCACATTTTCGGAGCCACCGAAAAGCCTGGAGAGTATTTGCAGCCCGACGCGAAGCGATTACAGCTTTGAGTTCGCCTCGACGACCAGTTCACCAGACGGCTCGCGTACCAGGCCGAGGACAATGCAGAGGAAGGCTCGCTTGGATTACGATGATTCCGACAATGATTCGGCCGTGAGCAGCTCTCAGAGCAGCATATCTCGCGGCTTCAGTCCGCCGATGTCTCCGGCACCGTCGGAGAGATCTACCGTCTCGTCGGAGAGATCTTACGTCTCCACGGAATTAAACTGCCAACGTCGACCTTTGATCGCAGACAATTTGAGCCGAATCTCAGTCGCACGGGACATCAGAGAGCCAATCGTTGCATCTGATAAAGATCAATTCACCTCCAGAATAGGCGTTCTCGGTGAACGAACGTACCTAGCCGAAAGATCGTCCTCCAGCAGCAGTGGCTCGAATCCGCGCTCGCCACAGCCGAACGAGCTTGCTTCAAGGAGCTCGCAAATCCCTCAGAGACAATTGAGGCGGTCGAACAGCACCGATACAAATTGCAGCACGTCCTCGACACTCACGTCCGGGTCTCAAGCCAGCGCCGAGTCGCTATCCCGAAGAGTACTGAAGCCGCAAAGTGTGGAGGCGATAAATCGAAAGAACATTTTGGCGAGCGCCAGATGCCGAAGCGGCAGAGATCTGAACGGATCGCCGCTAATCCAGCGAAAGTTCTCAGACGACGAGGATGCTGTAAAAGAAGCCGTCCAGAACGGCGGTGCTATTCATCAGATGAGCAATAACTCGAACGATTCCGCGGGCAAACAAGAGATCAAGATTGCGTACATAGAAGTCGCGGATCCCTTCGCGCAAGATGAAAGATCGTTTCAGAAGGAGGAGAAGCCTAAACTGCCGCCTAAAATGAGTTTCCCGCCGCCGGCTGTTAGACCGCCTAAATCCGAAATGTTGGAGCCATCAAACGACCTCAAAATGTGGGTTCGAGCGGAGGTGAAAACTTTGGCGCGATCGATGGAGGAAAAATCGAAATATGACAAGAGTCCATCCGTTGTAGCTCAAAATTTGGAAACAAGAAACAGTCGTGGCTCAGTATTTAACGAATCTGTTATTACCACGGCCAACGATGAATTGTCTTCAAAAAATAGGACCACGGCAAGCGATACGAAGGAAATCGCCGCGATGGAAATGTCGAAATCGCAAAGTAAAGCGAGTTTAAGTCCCAGAAAAAGTATGGAAGACCAAAACGATCTCTTGACGATCTTAACGACGAAAAGCCGCTCCAGATCAGCTATACACGTTGACGAAGGAACTTTCGGCAGATCGAAGAGCCAGATGAGCCTTGAGGATATACTTGGCGCTAAGCCGGATTTAAAATTGCCCCGTGCACAAAATACGGAATCAAAAATTGCAAAGAATGGCATAACAAGCTCGCCGGTAAAATCTGCTTGGGAAATCGCGAAGGAAAATCGATACGCGGGGAGAAGAGGCTCCACTACGTCGAACGAGTCTTGGTCGGAGGACAGACCCTTCGTCTCGAAAATACCTACTTTAGGGAGAATCAAAACTGTCGACAGCGGCGACGAAATGTCGACGGAAAGCGTCGAAAGAATGAAAAGTGCGACTGCGTCGAAGATTCCGACATCCCGTGGCCTGAATCGACGTAGCGCCAGCGTCACGGACATGAAAAAAGCCCTGGAGAAGAATGACACGAGTCCTGTGCACAGTCAGCTACAGCAGAGCGCCGTCAACAATCACAATCGATTTCCAAGTTTAGACAGCAGCGTGGACGAGAACATCGGGACGGAGATGGACACCGATAGATGTTACGGCGAGCAATTCGGCAGTATCAGTTCACTGGCAAGCAGCACCAGTCTCATCTCGCAACAGGAACTGGCGCAGCTCGTCGAGGAAGCGAGCTTGGAGGAGGCACGTGGTGCGCACGATGTCATAGTCGTGTTGCTCCACAAGGAGAACCCGACCGGCAGCGTTGGCATCACTTTGGCCGGCGGCGCGGACTGCGAAGTGAAGGAGATCACAGTTCACAGAGTGCTGACGCACTCCATCGCGGACAAGGATGGCCGGGTGCAGAGGGGTGATAGGATCCTCAGCATAAACGGTCGAAGCACGCGAGGTCTTACGCACAGGGAGAGCATGGCGGTACTGAAGCAACCGAGATCGGAGGTCGTGTTGGTCGTGTCGAGGGTCAGGCTAGAGGAGGGCTGTAAGCTGAGGTCGCGAACCGCGAGTGTCGAAACTATCGTCGAAGGTAAAAAAAAAATATATATATATATATACGTTTCTCGCGCGTAAAAACTCTTATGATCTGTTTTGACAATAACGGAATCAGTGTAAATAAGAGAATCTCTCTTGAATCGCACAGGATTAGAGACGAACGGAAACGTGGAGGATATAGCATGGGGTCCACCGTCGACCGTGGCAGTTTACAAGGACGGAGCTGGCCTAGGATTTAGCCTGGAAGGCGGCAGAGATAGTCCCCTCGGGGACAGACCTCTAATTATCAAGAAGATATTCACCGGTAAGTTTTGTGTAAATCTTCATATTTGATATATTCGCGTTCGTAATATTATCGTTAAAGGGTAATGCTGATTATCACGATAAGAATATTACATTGAAATGATAAGATAATAAAAATTATACAATTTGTTATCTCAACTTTATCTTTTACGGCAGGAGGTGCTGCCGAGAAAACGGGTACCTTAAAAGCCGGGGACCAACTGCTCGAAGTAAACGGTAATGACGTGACGCGTATGTCGAGAATAGAAGCGTGGTCTTTGATGAAGAAGCTACACGACGGTGAAGTGAATCTCCTAGTCAGGCATCCTGCCACTAAATCCTCGTGAGGAATACGAAATCCCGATCGTATGATGCAAACGGAACGTAGTAATGTGCCAAGCAAGCGTCTGGATAATTTTTCGATCGATATTTGTTACGTAGGTATAATGATTATTAAGGTATATATGTTATTAATTTGTTTTGTTTAGAGATTTTAGATAACGAATCAATATTATATGCGAGAGGCTTTTTCTATTGTGCAAAAATTTAAATAATATGTCGCTTTAATCAAAATCAAAAACTCAATCTCGCCGATTCATAAAAAGTGATGATGATCTATGCTATTTCCTTATACTATTAGAAGCGTCTAAACGAATCAAGTTATCAATACAATTACTTCTCTAGTAATTGCATTGATAGTCATCTATTAGAAATTCAATAATCAATTTATTAACAAAATATTAAAAGAAAATGGTAAATCTATGTGATTTGCTCATTTATTTTGTCTTCGGATCACAGGCGCCTTGTAGATCAAATATGCGTCTTGTACGTGAAAATAGCACTAAAGTATAAGCTTTCCGAATGTATGCAAATTAGAACGATGCAATCTCGATATTTTCAATGCAATAAAAATTAGTAAAAATTAGTCTGAAAAGAAATTTAACGGCTGCAAGTTCTGAATCGACAATGCAAAATGCAATATTGTATTCAACATGCAATAATACTACACGGAGAGAATTTTTTTTTAAATTTACCCTGCAAATCATGTTAATTATGGGACAATATGGTATTTAGGCAAATTTTACTGTGCATTACAATAAGATTTCGCAGTAAAATTTATTGTAGTGCACAGTAAAATTTACCTAAATACTATATTGTCTTACAATTAACATGATTTTCAGGGTAAATTTTAAAGAAAATTCTCTCCGTGTATAGGTAGAAAAATAATAGACATAAAATAGGAAATCAAAGATTGCGCAAATTAAGGTGCAGCCTTCCGCCTCCAAGTCCCTTTCTCTCAAATCCCATTTTCTGCCTTGTTCACAGGTCTGCGGGGTCCATAGGCGCGCGCTCGGCACCTAGCACGCCCCTGCA